CCGACATGCCATTTCATAAGGATCGGCCGACTATATCCTATAGCTGCCATATAACTGATTGATCGGAAATGCCATAACTTTGGTGTTTGTAAAGTTAGGAAGTCGGCATTTTCTATGGGTGTTATATTTGGCCAGCCAATCCGACCTACCAAATTTCATAAGGATCGGCCGATTATATCCTATAGCTGACATATAACTGAACGATTGGAAATGTCATAACTTTGGTGTTTTTAAAGTTAGGAAGTTGGGATTTTTTATGAGTATTAAGAATGCATCATATGAATAATTTTGGAGAATATAATTTACAGAGTATTCTGCAAGGGTATATCAACTTCGGCTCCGCCCGAAGTTAGCTTTCCTTTCTTGTTTTTATTCGCCTCGTCTTGAGAAAAAATAAGGAAAAACAAAACTTTCTATTTTCGTTGATACCTGAGATGTCTGCCCTGGCATTTACTTTGTTTTATTTTTTATTTCGGTAGCCAATCGGCAGCGGCAAATTAACGCAACGGCTTGTTACAGACGCGTTTTACAATCTCGGCGCATTTTTTGCCCGATTGCAGGTTGCACGTTGCTTGTTGCTCGATGCAGGTTGCCGGTTGCAGCAATCAATCGATCAACCGATCAAGCGATCAAACGAGCGAAAGCTGCGGTGATGCGGCCATGTCAAAGTCCTTACAAACAGCAGGAAGGCCGAAAGGAAATCGGGAAAAAAGGCTAAGAGCCAAAAGGCAGGAGGAGGAGGACCAATCGATGGCCAACGATGGCTGCTTGCTGCATTCCGAAATGACAAAACAGTTAAAAAATAATTAATTGCGTTGCCTTAAATGGCCTAAAGCGGTTTGGCTTTTTCCCTCCTCCAGTTTGCCTCCTGTTGCAGCTTTTTGCTGCTCGCTTGTTTGCAAGCTGCAACAGCAACAGAAATACACTGGGGAAAATAATAGATGGGAACGAATATCTCTTTAAGTTTAAATTGTACTTAAACACGGAATATTGGATATGAAATTTATTCACTTTTTGTTTCTCAACATTTTATTTGTGAGATTTGAACGTATTTGTATGTTAGTAATATAAATATTAGTAATACGTGCAGCAATACCCAATAAAAATAGTACACGATGTTTTTTAAATATGTGAAAGATAAAACTTACTTATAAATAAACCAAATAAACCAACTATATTTATGTTTAGTATTCAAAAAAGTTAAAAATGTCTTGTTCTATATTATAAGTAGCATATCAAATAGTAATAATAAATCGTAAAAAAAAAAGATTAGAACAACACATTTTTCCCGGACTTAAAGAAAAATTGTGAAAAGTTTTGAAGAATCCACTTAGCAGTTAATTTCAAACGTAATGTTTATTTTAAAATGTCCTTATTTAATTAGCGTTTTTCTCAGTGTATTAGCAACTACAACAAGATCAACAAGTGCACAAGCTGCTGCTGCTGTGCGTTCGCCGCTCATTGCCCATTTTGGCCATTGTTTTTATTGCCCGCCTGGAGCGGCCATCGGGCAGCCACTTTAGGGCTTATTAATGATGGATTCTCCTCCTCAATTCCTTGGCGACTCTTGTTTTATTGCGCAATGCAGCCGAGCAGCGGGACCTGTCCCCCCGAAAATGAACCCAAGTCGGGCTTGGGATTGGGACTTGCAAAAACAAAGGACCTGGCCGAATGTATGTCAACGTTATTGTCCGCATGACAAATGGACAATTGGCGGGGAAAGAAACTCTCTGGTGAGAGCGGCGTACTAAACGTTTTGGCAGCTTGGCGACTAATTTGGGCCAACACACTGACGACGATCATTACGAAGAAGTAAAATCGTTAAAACCGAACTCAAAAAAGGGGTTCGAAATATTGTTCATTAGTCAACTTAAAACAATTTAATATTTTTAAGTTGTTATAACCTAAAATGCATATATATGTAGGTTAAATATTATAGAAATTGCACCGTTACAAATTATAATCTGATTATTATTGCCTTTGAATTGGTTTATAGTAATTTAAATTCATGTTTATTTATTTCACGTGACATTGAACCCGAAAAACCTACGGGAAAAGCTTTCTGATTTCTATTAGTTTTGCTTTAATTTGCTGATCTTACATAAAACACACTCGTAATATAAATCAAGATTCTTATCGCTGAAAACACCGACAAACCGAGTGCAACAAATAACAAATTTTCACTTTTATTTAACAAATGATCGAAGGGAGACCAAGACAACACACAGAAAACTAATATCAAGATCCTATCGTTATGGCTTTGTAAAGTATCCATAACGGCTTAAAGCGCTGACGACTTCCCATAACTTTATACCAAAATTGGCAGCCAACACGGAGTCAGGGCCAAGATATTTATGTAAGCCGAAGCGGACTCACATACTCATGGACAACGCCCTAGAGAAGATTACGGATCTCAGACCGTGGACCGAAGTCAATGCATTAGCGATAAATTTCAATCAAATCCGATCGAAAACAACACACAAAACATCGCCCCACTCAGAAGAGATCGTTCGTTGCATAATTAGAAAACGTCTAAATTTCGTTTTGTATTCCAAAGAACACTAAATTAGATTTACGATTCCCGATCAAAGCATTCGAACGCATGGAACGCAATTAAAATCAGCTTAATAATTCTCCCAAAAGAAAGCAGATCAGATCGTCTGAATTCTCAAGGTGTGATAATAATTTTTATGAAAGAGTCCAACGAGGCAACAAATCAATTCCGCATAATGCCAATAAAAAAGATTTGAAGAAGGCATTTACATTCATGAACATAAATCTCCGCCCGAGCACAATGCCTAAATAAAATAAGAAAGAACTTAAGAAGACATCCAACAATTTCATTATGAGGCCATGAATGAATGCCAGAATGACTGAGGGAATGAATGAATGAAACTAGATGCTGCTTTTCGGGTTTATTGTTGGACCCATTTTGGCGGCGAGTCAGTTTTTTGGAGGACCTCACAATCGGCCAACGAGCATTACGGGCGATTAGGTGTTAAACACACAATTCGTTGGGCATATCTGCCCGAAATGGTCTGACGTAATTTATGACCCGTGGAACATTGCCCGTACCCAAACCCTCTGTCCAGAAAAGGGGGTTACAATCACTGACGAGCTATGGATCTGCAGGTAGGACCCACCTCGGTGGTCGTAACCCCGACCCCAGATTACCAGATTTTCACTCAAGTGCAAATCCTGAGCATGCGCCGCTGGACACTCCACTGAAAATTGCGGTGAAAGAGCCACTGAAAGTTCACTGAAAATATTTTGTTAAAATTATTCAATAATCTTAAATTAAATGTTATAATTTAAAAATATTGTTAAGCTAAAAAAAAGTATAGATTCAAAATGTTTAAGGTGACCAATATATCTGACTAACGCTATAAATAAATGGTTGATGGTAATAATTAAATTAATTAAATTCTTTAAAGTTAGAAATTAAAAAATTATTATTATAAATAAAACCTTCGTTTTTTGATACCTTTCCTTTACCTATATAAATATTTTGAATTACCTACAGATATTATAGCTGAATCGAATAAATTGACTCAAATGGGCTTAATTGCTGCATGCTGGACATAATATTACATTTCCCAGTAAACTCTTTAAATATGTTATATATGTTATATGTATATTTAAATACTCAAAAATATTCTCTGGGTGCATCTGTGAAGTTTTTTCGTTGGCGCCTCGGCGCCGCAATTAAGCAGAAATCAGTAAAATAAAAAAGAGCAAAAATTAAGGTTAATGTAGGCCGTGGTCTGCTAATTAAGATATGGTTGCCTGGACGCGAACGCTCCACTGATTCCGATTCTCCGGATTCTCCCTGCACCTTTCGACAAGTCATTGAGCTGTTAAATTTATTTAATGCTTGCACAATGGAGGCAAACATGTTGCCAGTGGCTTTGTTGTTAATTTTTATTGCTGTGCGATTGAGACAAGTTAATTTTTCCACGCAGACCCAGCCATTCTTATTCGCTGGAATTGTCCGAGTCACGGACGGATTCCCAGGATCCCCGAGGATCGTCGAGGATCAGCGAGCTGCCTGCTGCGCTTTTGTCTCGACCTTTAAGTGCAGGTCCTTTTACCGGGCTCAATGAATGAGATCCTTCATTCATGTCTTTCAGTTTCAAGAGTTTCCATTCAGGCCCGAACTCCCAGTTTTGTGGGTGTGTCGCACATGGATTACACTAATGCGATGGTTGTCCCATAATTTAATGCACTCACCGCACTCGAGCGAGGATTTAATGATGTTCCCACCAAGTTCAAGTGCTCGGTGTCGGCAGATTCGCAAAAAGGATTTTAGGGATTTTGTTCGAGAGGCAAACAACAAAATCCTTTCACATGTTTCAAGAACCCTTCATATTTCATCGGCACTTGAGAGTCAGTGCCGCCAGAAGTGTTTATTGTCCCTGGACATTGTCTGCAGGACTCTCTCCGGAGATCCTTTTCTGAACTTGAAACTGATCCTCGATGCCATTCAAGTGCAGGTGAGCACGAGCCCTATTTCGCTGACTAAGCGACTTTTTGAACTAAGGATTTTCTGGATATGCTGGAACTGATGCGCTTAACTCTTTGACTTTGTTTTTGGGTTAAGCAGATCGGCTTTTGGTAGGATCAAGGGGAACCTTAAGAATCTTAATCTAAAAAAAGAGGTTACAACACTTGAGAAGGGTTTCTACATATTTCACAAAAATCAACAATTTTATTAGGAACTGTACTTTTTTTGCCTATTAAAATACTTTCTTGGATTACGTTTTTTGAAATTTAAATTAATTTATTACTTTTGTACTACTCTTAAAAACAAACTTATTAAGCGTTGTAGTTTTAAACTATTGCGCTATCACGAGTCCAATTTAATTGACTTTATGACTAAATTAGGGTAAATAAAGAGCAGATCTCTCTTGTTATCGCACACTAAGATCTTAAACTATGTTTACTTATGTTCTTTGTTTATGCTTTAAGACAATCTTATATAGTGAAACCAAAACTAATTGCTATGGCGTTTATTTAGTTAACTCTTTTTATGTTATTATTTACTTCCGGTACCACATCTGAATTGTCCTCATGCGCTTAACCTTCTTCTGCAGCTGCAGAATGCCATACATTAAGGCTTCGGCGGTGGGCGGACATCCGGGCACGTAAATATCCACCGGAACAATCCGATCGCAGCCCCGCACCACCGAGTACGAGTAGTGGTAGTAGCCACCTCCGTTGGCGCAACTTCCCATGGAGATGACCCACCTGGGTTCCGGCATCTGGTCATAAATTTTGCGAAAAGCCGGTGCCATTTTGTTGGTCAAAGTTCCAGCCACAATCAGGACGTCTCCCTGGCGAGGAGATGCCCGGAACACCACTCCGAAACGATCCATATCATATCGGGGGGCGGCGATGTGCATCATTTCCACGGCGCAGCAGGCCAGGCCAAAGGTCACGGGCCACAGCGATCCCTTGCGGCCCCAGTTCAGCAGGTCGTCCAACCGGGCACAGGTCCACTCGCCCCAGGTCTTCTGGTCCCTCCCAAAGGCCGAGTAACCCCACTTCGGAGGATTCTGGCAGGTGTAATCGTACACCGGCATGGTCTTCTGCCCACGAAGCCACTGAGATTGTAACGCCGATCCACGGGAAAGCAACAGCCTGCCAGCGTTTTTGGATAAAATCAGGGAACTTATCATCCTTACAAGATTTAAAGTATATTAATTTTATTTATTTTGTACTTGCAATGAAAAAATAATGAAAAATATAAAAACTTACTTTCGTATTTTCTGATATTGACATTTATATTTGACGGATTTTGCTATGAAAGTAAATGTATAAATTAGTAATTACAAATACCAAAAGTAACGTTTAATCCCTTGCATGGACAAGGTAGAAGTGCAAAGTATTTTACATTAAATTCGACATTACGAACTTGGTTCATAGTTACATTCACAGCTTTATAAAAACAACTATTTTGTTTATTCTTGTCCTAACTTCACCTTTAAAAAAAACGATTAATAATTTACGATACTCGTTTACACCTTAGCCCCGACCCCTTTTAAATACATATATTATTCGAATATTTAGCTCCCAATCCCGTTTGTCTCCCCTTAACGCCACCGCTTGGCGTCAAAATCAATCCAAAAACCAAGGCACCTAAACGCTGGGCGGACAGCGAACAGGAATCGATGGGCTCATAAATACGCATGAAGATGGGGCCTCCATTCATGCAGCATCGAAGTTCGAGCCGAGATCGTTTAAAAGGAAATTATTAGCTGATTGCAGCAGCGCCATCCCCCGCTGCTGCACTTGGGTATTTAATGGGACCTGAGGACCTGGGGACATGCAATCCGGGACTTGGGACAGATGCATCCGCGGAGAGCTTACGCAATCGATGCTCGAGCTCATTACGGAGGCGACACTGAAGAAGATGCACTTGTAAAAATAATGGACATTCAATTTATTATAGAAATATTTTAGATTGGAATGGATTAGAAAATTCCAACAGAAATGTTTGTTTTGCATATAAATAAAATACAAATATAGATACCTAGAAATATAGATCCATTCTTACATTTACATACAAGCAATTACAGCTTTGTCTAAATATATATTTGGTATTTATCTAAATGGATTAAAATGTTTACTTATTAAATATTATTTTTACTCACATAAAGTGTTTAATAATTATTTAAAGTACTTTATTTCTATATTAATGCCAAACGCTAAAGAGTAATTTAATTCTCATCGTCAAGATTAGTTGGTTTTAATTAAGGCATTAACAATTTTTAATAAATCTTATTTAATTTAATTTTAACGAAGCTAAAATGTATAAAATCTATAAACTATAAAAACAGTAGCCAAAATGTAGTAACTTAAAAAATCAAACAAATGTACGTTGCATTTGAGTGAATAACACTTTAACTAATTTCAGAAAACTATTATTCCCAAAGTGTATAAATCATCGAATAATATTGGTTCTTTTTTATAAATACCAAGATAGTTCTATTGAGGAAATACACGCTTAGCTAAAGAAGTAATAAAATCATTTTGGTTTTAGTGTGATTCTCTATTAATATTACTGACCATAAACTTAATTCATTCTGAATTAATAGTGAACTTCTAAAGTTTAATGACTTGTAGAAATATATTTCCAAGTGTGAGATTGGAGTCATGGCGCTGGCGCAGCTGGCAGTCAATACTTGGTGGCAAAATGGCAACTGCCACTGGGGCTGCTGTGTCTTTTTGCGGTTTTTAATTAACGCTTTTGCACAATGCTTGTCTAATTACGCCTATGGTGCCACAGGCACGACAACAAAACGGCAGCAACTACTAAATCATCAATATTGTCAAGCAGCAGCTGCTGATTTGGCAGACAGCCGAAGAATCCTCCAGGATGAGCAATAGAAAAAAATGAAAAAGAAAATACAAACAGGAGACAGCAGACGGGCAACAGCCACTGACGACGATCATCGCATGGCAATTAGGCATTGGCTGCATTTGATGCATCATTAATTGAATTAAATTTGCATTTAAATGCGCGCCTATGAATGGAACAGGGCATTCTGCAGAACCGCGTTTTTCCCAGCCAGCCAGCTAGCCAGCCAGCTCGTCTGCCTCGACAATAAACCGCTGATGAAGTCATATACGCCCGGCTCGAACGCATTGGCCAAATGCAGCCGGTACGCAGCAAAAATGCCAATTTAAAATGGCTAAAATAAATTGGTTTCGTTCGGCATTGTTCGCTCCTCCGATGGCTGGCCAACGCAAAATAGACTATCATCAATTTAAAATCAATATGTCACATAAATTGGAAGGGAAATCAACGCCAAAAGCCGCCAACGATATTGGCCAAGGAAAATGTATAAAAAACGAAAAGAAAGATGCGAAATAAATAAGTAAAGGCAAAAAAGAAAGGAATGAAATAGCAGGAAAATGTCGGATACCCTTGGGGAATTAATATGACTAAAATAATTTGGACACAATTATTGTAAGGTTAAAACAAAAACGGTATTTAAGAAAATACTTTTACCTGTAACTAAAAAATTATATATTTTTATTTATTAATCGAACTCAAAAACAATTTTTACCTAGGAATAACCCTATTCTTTAATAATTTTAAGAAGCGAAAATGTAAGAAATTTGTCATTATTGAGTAATATAATAATTATCGAAATATGTATGTATATGTATTGTTTTAAAAAATTATGGATCTTCAAAAAAAATTTTAGAAAACTTCAGTACCTTTGCAAGGGATACTTTTTTGATAGATTACATTTTGTTCACTATTAGTTATTAATTATCTTTTTTTATTTTTTATTTTCGAGACATTTAATAAGGAGTAAAATATGGAATGTCCTTTGTAAGGGTATGATCAAAATGGACAAAGGCTGCAGTTGCGACTGCTGAGTCCGAGTGCGATTACTTTGCTATAATTCGTCGTCATCGTTGCCGCAACTTCTGCTTGCTGCAACTGCAACAGCAACAGCAACGGTTGCTGCAATTGTTGCTGCTGCTGTTTGGTGACATCGTCGCTGGGGTTTTATTGGCCACTTTTGGCCACATCAGCGACAACGATGAGACAGGCGAGCGCGCTTCCTGTCTCATGGCTCATAGCATATAGCATATATCCACTATATGGACTATTCGTATATATATATCCGTGTGTGCCGGACAACTTGCCATTATTATGCGCATGTTGCATTGCATTGTTGCTGCTGGCCGGCTGCTGTTGTTGCCGGATTTGTCAGCGATCCTCAAAGTGATAAAAATTGCTCGTAAATCCTTAACGAGTGGAACTAACACGCGCTGGCTGGCTTACTAACCGAAACTCAGCCCCCGCATCCACACACCACATTTGTCTTTTTAGTGAACTCCTAAAACAACATGCCAAATGGAACAATGGCCGATCCGCAGACCGAAATGGACGCGCTCATCTCTTGATCTGCATTGTTAGCGGCCAGCAGCAGCAACATCCACAGGAGCAACATCAGCAACAGGAGCAACTTCAAAGCATAACACAGGAAAAAAATATATGTAGACTTTTATTTAAATATTCTTTATATCTTAAAGATCAACGATGTTGTGGACTGCATCGTGAATTTAAAAATTATAATATTTTTAAATCACATTTTTATCATCAGCACACATGAACACATTATATTTTATCCTTTAAAAATTTGTTATACAGTTTAATATTATTATTGATACTTTCACTGTTTATTTATTGGCGTTCTTTTTTAAAAATGATTATCCTTATTCTACATAAAGTATATTAATTTCTATTTCAAAACAAAATACATTGTTAGATTATTTTGTCTGCTTTACCTATAAGAAAATATATACTTTTCCTCTGTGGAACAACATCTCCTGCTTTCCGTTTTCATTGTGACTTCTGGAACTCTTTGCATTCTACAGAACTCACACCAATCCATTGGTTTTGGACAGTTTATGCATCACCAAGCACCAAATTGACTCCATTAAATTCCAATTGTGCCAATGTTTCCTTAAGTTGGGGGAGGAGAGGCCAAACAAGTGGTGAATGCTGGCAAAGTTAATCGTTTTCTGCAACAATGTTATAAAATTGCTGTTTACTATTTTCCACGAAAAACAAAAAATGCAGTTCTGGAATTTTAATAAAGTCATACGAACCTAAATGTAGTTCTGTCTTTTCTTAATTTCCGATCCCCCAACTTGCTATAGCCAATGATGAGCCGCAATTAAGCCTTAATGTCCGCCCGATAAACACTAATTTAACAACCCCACACAAGAAGCCAAAGCAAAGTTACAGGTTAACGCTAACAAATCAGATCGAAACCATATGGTTAACCAATTAAAGATGCAAAAGACAAAAAGCCAAAGCCCAGCTGACAATAAAACCAACAAATTTTCGTATTTAACGATCGGCAAATTAACATACATTTACACATGCCGGGAACGGAGAGCGGGACAAACGAGTTTTCGACTTTTCGAGGCGGGCCACCGTCAGTCAGAGTTTCCGACCACCCAAATGGGAGATGGAGAAGCTGTGATGTCGGTTTAGCAAAATAAAGCTAAAACTTTCAACAAAATTAATATATTATAAGCCTTAATTTCATGAAAATAACATAACATATAGTACTAGCCAATCTAAAGCATTTTTAGCGGATACTCATTAAACAAAATATTTTATTGATTTAGCAAAAATCGTAGTAGAGTGTGTAAATATAAAAGTTTGGAGGTTTTCAAATGATTTTTTTAGTTAGAAAACTTTACACATATTGATACATACATATACTATACATATACTTAACAAAAGGAGTATAGTTAGAAAATATATAACAAATTATAATACCAAACAGTTCCCAAGAACTTACAGGAAAGGACAAAAATGAAATAACTAAAAAAATATAAATTAAAAAAGGATAAAATAATTTAAAATAGCTAAACTGACAGCACTACCTATGAAGGAGGAAAAGAGAGCGAAAGGGAGGGGCAGCAGCTCCACTACGCTTTAAAAGTAGGTGTTGACAGTTCGTTATAATAATAACTACTTTAAAATAAAGCCCCGGCCAGAGCCGATAATTAATTACGAACGATTAATGACAATGTTATCTAAGCGCATGACAAACCCCGCGGGACAAAAATAACAACAAAACCGGCGGATTGCTCCACTCGTCGACTTTCCGCTCGAGTTCAGATGAGTTCATGCATAACACCTCCGCCTTCTTTGTGGGCGTGGCGACCGCCTGCTGTTTCAGCTAACTGTTCTGCTTAATTTGCGAATAATTCGATCAACAGCTTCATCTTGGGGTTTTATACAGTAGATATTGGTTGATTGCTAAAATATTTATTATAAATTAATATAGCAAGTTCATTTGTTAAATGAATTTCAACATGGATAAATGGTTGCTTGGGAACACATTCTAAAATATTTGAAAACCTCTAACATTGTTTTAGGAAATCAGACTAAAAAATTATGTTTTTTTGGCTTACAACATTTTGCCAAAAGTGAAATTTGAACAGTCTTATATATATTCGCAAACACATAATTTTTTACAATGAATCTCAATTTTTAGCTTTCACGTAATGTCGGTAAATACTGTATTTTTACTTAAAAAACACCCAAGTCGGCTTCTTTGAACTGCTTGTTGCGGTTATTATGTAAAACACACAAAATCCTTTTAATACATAATGTCACATTCACATCACTTAACCCGAAAATTTGTATTTGTCTTTGTTTTTCGTTTGTTTGTTTTTGGCTTGTATTATTTTCTTTTTGACCGCACTTTCACTTTCCCGCTCTGCTAGGGATAATTAATGTGCATCGCGACCCGGAGTTTTCCCCTAAGTAGGGTGCTCTATATATCCGTGCGTCCCCTCCTAATACATAATTACGTTGTTTCATTAACAGCATTAGCAGCGACAATATTTCACCCGATTTTCAAGTAGGGACTCTCCATATTCCGAACTGAAGTGGAGGTGTTTCATCTCGTTTGCTTCCATCCACTCGCAGTCTTGATTTATCGACATTAGGTGGATAGTTCGGATTCCCTTTTCCGTGGGTGGCAACTAGAGATGAACTGATGCGATTTTAGTTGTTATGTAATAATACATAATATTTCCTATTTTAAAAAATGATGACTGATGACACTGAAATTAAGCTTGAAACATTTACTAAGATCAAAAAAATTATGTATTTAAATTGGACTTACAAAAAAATAAATATTATAAATATTTATTTAAATATTTAGACTGCATTAAATTGAGTTACTAATGATAAATAACCAATTGATAGCAGTAATAAAATTCGATAATCCCCGAAAATATAATACTCATATAATTAATTGTATGTAGTCATCCCAAAGAATAAATTTTTTGTATAATTTTAAAATAATTTTAGACAAAACTCACGCTCTCATCTCTAGTGCCCGATCCCGGCGTTATGGATTATTAATGCAATGGGTTGCGAACGGGCAGATGAGGCGGCATTGATCACTCTCCACTCCCCTGAAGTGTTGTCCCCCTCCTGATATTTTCCCCCATGTTTATTTTTTGGGGGGTGTAAACGGACTAATGCAATCTCAAGTATGTGCGACACGCTGGCTGGGGCGACTACTGCAACATGTGGCCAAATGCTGTATATGAAGTGGCATAAAAAGATGCACCGCCCGACGAATTTATGGGATGCGGCATGTTGCCATTGGCCTGATGCTCACACGCATTTAAATACCTAATAAAAGTTACACTTGAAAATTAATGAGCAGCGTTTTCAGCATTTTGTGGAACACGACAAAGTGACAACACTTGAATTAAGTTGTTCCCGGTCCAAGGATCGCGGATTTGGCTCCCTAACTCCAACTTCACATCATTCCCCGCCCCGTTTCGGATGTCAGATATGCCGAGATTTCGTTTTAGTTGGAGCAATAAATTTTGTGGTTTAATGGGGCGGGCGTAGCGGCTCGACTCTGAAGTTTTTCACTTTGATATTGGAGCGTCTATTAATGAAAACGTTGCGCTGCAGTGAGGCGGCCTTTTTTGGCCTATTTTATAGGGCACACTTCCTTTTTTAATGCAGTCGAACGAACGGGGCCCGAGCGAATGGCTTTAGCCAGGGCTTGAGGCGCATAAACGGGGCTATTAAAGTGACAAAAATTGACACTAATCATGCTTGGATGCCAGCCAAAGGGGTGGCCGACCATTTGTTTTGGAGGCCGGGTAGAAAGAGTCCACATTTTGTAGCGCTGTCATGTTCCAGGCGGTTCGTAATTTATGTCTTAACACTTACAGATCGTTAGCAAATGGAAAGGGTCAGGTCGGGTAAAATAATAGGACTCACTGGAAAGAGACCGCATGCAATGCGGCATAATTAGTTAATAAAGATGAACATATGTTAGTGATTTAGGATATATATATATATATTTTAATAAATTTATGAATGGGTTAATTAGTTCTAACTAGTTTACCTAATTGGATTCCGGATGTAAAATATTTAAGGCAGGCTAAGATTAACTAATTTTCATAATATACACGATCACAATTATGAAATTACTCAATGAAATGTATAAAGAAACTATATGGTTTTAATAAGAAAGCAAATAAGAATATCGAGGGTTTTACACAAACTATAGATAATGTTAAAGTTTCTGTTTTTTATACCCGTTACTCGTAGAGTAAAAGGGTATATTGTATTCGTGCAAAAGTATGTAACAGCTAGAAGGAAGCGTTTCCGACCCTATAAAGTATATATATTCTTGATCAGGGTCACTAGCCGAGTCGATATAGCCATGTCCGTCTGTCCGTCTGTCCGTCTGTCCGTCTGTCTGTCCGTCTGTCTGTCTGTCTGTCTGTCCGTATGAACGCTGAGATCTCGGAAACTATAAAAGCTAGAAGATTGGCATTTTGCATGCAGATTCTAGGAAATCCTACGCAGCGCAAGTTTATTTCAAAATGGTGCCACGCCCCCTCTGACGCCCACAATCGCTTATATACGATTTTAAAAATTTAAATATTTCGGAAAAGTAAAAATGCAGTTTTATTGTGTTTATCAATACCTATCGAAATGTAGAAGAAATTTTTCAAATCGGACCATTCGTTAAAAAGTTATGCGTGATCAAAGTTTCTATCTCCATCTCCCCGCACTCCCCTTTTACCTTTTTTTTTTTTTTTTTAGAGTAACGGAGCATCTGATAATTCTATCGCAAGGCACCTCGACTATAGCGTTCTCTCTTGTTTATATTTTAAATTTTGTTTGAATATAATTACTCATTGGTTGTTTAAAGAATATTTTTTTAAATGTATATTCAAAATAACATTCTAAGATTACGCAAATTTCGGTGGGTTACGAGGCAGATTAGACACCATACCCACACCCATTGTCCCTCATCCAAACCCGTGCCCAGATAAGCGAGCAATAGCAACACCATCGCTAAACGCACCAAAGTAAATTGTTCGATTAATTGGATTTTAACAGCGACAAGTAGCCGCCAGGCAGGACAGCCAATGAACCAATGAACACCACCAGACAAAGGCAATAAAAAAGAGTGTTGCTAGGTTGGGCGGTTTGAGAAATAAAGAAAAACCAGCAGCATTCCCTGGCAGCAGACATGAAATCTCTCTGCCGAGCGAAATAGAGATGAATTTACAGCTACAAATCGCTTGATCAGTCAACATTTTAGCAACGTCTAATTGTCAGTCAGTCAACCAGACGGTAAAACGTCGACAACAACGGCAATGGCAATGGCAGTGGGCAGTGGGCAATGGAAGCAGCAACTGTTGCTGCCCCGCAGCAACATCCACGGCACGGCAGCAACATCGCAGCAAAAAGAGGCCCCAAAGTTGAATTTTTATTGTTGTCACAGCAATTTCAATTGGTTCGATGAGCATTCCAGCATTGCACGCGGCCAACTAGCGGAGCGATCGCAAGAAATACAAAATAAAACCAAACAAAGCCAAATAAAATGAAAAATAAAACTGGCTTAGACGAGAGACGCTGGAGACACAGCTCCATCATCGATATTATGTCGCTGGCAGACGATTAATGATTGCCAAGGTGAAGATCTCATCGACAAGCGTTCGCCTCTCGCTCTTTGTTTTTATTTACAGTGGGGCATCGCAATGAAGAATATTCTGTAGCTGAAATTTTATTGAAATATAAAAGCATAAGATTACTAAACTTTTTCTTTATTTGTATTTTGTAACTCTTTCTAACGTTCCACGGGTTTTTTTTTAGAAAAACTGCTAAGCATATATTTATAAATTTTTGAATTAATTGTAAATTTAATTATCTATAATATTTTAGAAATTTTATTTTAAATTTAAAATATTAGCTTCCAAATCCAACTTATGTATACATTTTTTATAAGCAATTGTATTTTCAAAACTTTACAAATAATAAAATTTAAAAATTGGATACCGAAATAAAAGATTTAAAGATGGTTTAACTTAGGCAGTTTTACTGTGTTCATCTTTTTTTTTGCGGCTCAATGTCAGTCCGCCAGATTGTCAGTTCGTCAGTCTGTCAGTGTCGCCGGGCCAAAGCGAGCAACGTCTCTCTCCCCAACACTTGGTATTTATGCCAATTAGTATGAAATTTCTTACGTGCCCCCAGACAGCGGCCTCAGTCGAAGTCGCAGATCCAAGATGCAGCTCCAGCTCCCGAGATCCAGAGCTCCAGCTCCAGCTCCATCCTCATCACAAGCCATCGGTTGCGGTTGCTTCCGCTTAAACTGGTCCAGTTTCATTTCTCGATTTCACCCTAATGCCAAGCAGCTACTGTGACTATATCTTATGTCTCTTATTGTCTCTCCGCGGGCTTAGCGCCATTTTTGTCGCGCTTTTCTGACTTTGGCTAATCTGGGTGCTTAAATCGACCGATCCGCAAATATTTCGTATTTCGTATTTAACTTGCTGCGCTGCCTCTGCTCGGTCGAGAATTCAATTCAAGTATTCCCCTATCTTCGATTAAGCAAAAAAAGTTGTTCGTTTTATAGTTCAAACAACTGGCAATCAATTTTTTTAGCAGTTGTGTTATGTAATACAATACGTAAAGAATTGAATTTGGTTATCAACATGCCAACAAACTTAATGAATGCTTTACTGAAAATAAGAAAATTAGTGATTGGCGGTTTTCAAGTTTCAATCGGAATATTCTAAAGTGGCAACCTTGTATGCTTTGGACTACAAAAATATGCTGATAGAACAGTACATATAAGGTAAGTCCTTATCTCATAAATGTCAAGGGCTACCAAGAGCTTATAAAAATTAATATTTCACTCTCAATAAGCTCAGTTTATAGCAGACAGACCAGTGGAGCAGTTCATATTGTCAACTGAATTAAAATGAAATTGCGGACTTTAAGATTTCTAACGTTTTTGTTTTTGGTGGAGGTACGCATATCTCTAGCCGATTTCGACTCAGTTAAAACTTCGATAACTATTGAACAAAGCACGGAAAACAAATGCAATGGTTACTGTTTTTCGGTTTATAAGCCCATATTCGATCTTGTTAATTTGAAAGATGATCAAATAAAAAGGCAAAATGAAGAAATTATTAACCTAAAAAATCAAATCAAGTCCATGGAGACAAAGTGCGAGCAAACTACCGAAAATTTTCCGGACTCATGTCCCAGTGGCAATAAAAATGGAATTTACCAAATTAAGATAAAGGGTATGGAGCCATTTAAAGTGCCTTGCATGTCGCCTGTTTCTGGATGGTCGGTAATCCAGAGGCGTTTTGACGGATCTGAAAACTTCAATCGTACCTGGGAGGATTACAAGAATGGTTTTGGGGACGTGAAAGGGGAGTTTTTTATTGGGCTAGAAAAGTTGCATAGGATGACTGAAGAACGAACTTATGAACTTTATATTAGACTTCGAGATGTTAATGGAATCAATCGCTATGGTGCTTATGATAGTTTTAAAATCGGCAGTGAAGAGGAGTCGTATGAGTTGAAAACGTGGAGTAGATATTCCGGTAACGCCGTTAACTATATTGAAAACTACGGGGGAAACAAGTTCACCACTTTTGACCGGGATAATGTCAATAATGGAAACTGCTCTGAAGCTTACTACGGTGGTTGGTGGTACAATGAATGTGCCGAGAGGTAACAATTTTTGATCAAAAATAATTACGATCTTTAAACTAAAACCATTTCAATTACAGTTCGCTAAATGGAATATATTATAAAGGTCGCAACAGAGATGAGTCAGAAAGAAATGGAATTTTCTGGAGTACCTCGGATGACTACTATATTGAGAAGTCCCTCACATTTGTTGAAATGATGATTAGACCGATATCTTTTCAAGATTTAGTCTAAGCTTAAACTGAAAAAGAAATCATTTGAAAAATTAAAAATAAAACAAAACTCCATTACATTTTTTAAAGAAGCATTAAATTAAATTAATGATAATCAAAACAAGTTGAAGGTTATATTTATCCGTTTTGAATAAAATTATATGTATTAATTATTTTTGTTTTTTATTCATATACATATTGGTTTAGATTTTATTTTGTATATATTTTAATTTTGTCCAAATTTTAAATTTATCAAACACTTCTAAAATTTATCTAACCAAAAATTGTTTTTTATTTTCAATGTTACATGCAAAAAAAAATTTTAATATAAGCGGTGATTTGGTTTATGGAGAACATTATAGAGCGAATTAATTGAGTTAATCCCTGCGTTCCCTTCTTATTAAAGTCTCCCCCCCTTAAAAGAACCTAAGATCCCCTGTGTTTACTTACCAGACACAGAATAATGCATCCAGTTTAGCCGAAGATTTTTTGCAGCCCGCTCCAATTAAGTTTTACCTGCACCCATGCTGACCGCAGCCAGACAAATTTCGAAAACAATTTTCCGCCCAGCAAGTGTGACTCGTTAGGCGCTTCGGCGGTGGCTCTACTCGTAATTGAGCAATTATTCATTCAAATGGATTGCCAATTTCGCCGACCAGCCCACAACAACAGAGGATACGATACTACGCGATACGATGCGATACACCTCGGGGCCAATTTAGCGGATCGAACTGCGAACTGCAAGCTGCAATTGCGATTGCAATTATAAAACAATCACTTGTCGGGATAGGCGGCTCCTGGTCGCCACCTTTAACGGCTGCCCATTATTTCCAGTATCCGATGCGATGCTTCTTGTTTCTTTTTTTCTTTTTCCTGCTGGCTTGTTTTTCTTTTTCTTTTTTCTTTTTGGGCGGCGGCCACGCAAATTGTGCTTACTTAATAAGTCGTACAACCTGCTAATGTGAGCAATTTACCAAAGGAACGCTGGTGGTGCAGGTTCTGTTCGCCGTATTTTTCTTTATTTTTCTGCATTTTCTGTGGTCCTCGCGCATGCGCAGTCGCCGATTGCAATCTGCGCAGAAGGAAGCCGCCACAAAATAGCAGCGTGTGTGAGTGCGCACAATAAAAGGTGCGAGCTTAAAGAATTTATGGGCCAACCACCGGTCGATAAGCCAAGAAAAATAAATAAAATAAAATAAAAAAAGAAAAGAAAAGAAAAAAATAGCCAGTAAAGGAGCTCGCTTCGTGCAGGCAAAACAAAGTCGCTGGGACAGCGCACCTAATTATTATAAATAAACCAATCGAACAATAAAGATCTGCTGGCCAACTTTCCACGAAATGTGCACAGTGGCCATAAGAACTTAATCGCAAATGAGATTCCGGGCCAGTTCGAGTCCCAAAAGCGGAGGCTAAAGCCGGCAACGCCATCGATAACACAATCGATGATGAGGCGGCTCCCAAGTCCATTCCGAACCCGAATCCAGGCTAACAAGCGGTTTGATGGGGCAGCCAGTCGGCTGGATTAATCGCTGACATGGCCGGGGGAAAATTCTGGATGGCAGCGGGAGCGGGTCCCAAAAAGTCCAGGCTTACACTCAGGCGAAATGTGAAGTTTTTTATTTAAAAATACATTTTTGGAAGAAGAGCTAGAAATTTATTTATTAGGAATAAACTATTAAATTAAATAATTAAATTTAGTGTTATAAGTGTTATGTTCAAATTAATTAAATTCTTGGGCCTTTAGAGGTTTAAGTAAAGTTAACTTAAAGGAAATTAAAGAAAAAACGTCTCTAAGAGAAACAAGCTGTTTTTATTTTAATTATAACTTAAAAAAAATTAACCCAAATTTATTGAAAAACGAAAATGAAATTAACTTTAAAATTTTGTTTATAAAGGTGCGGTACTTGCGAAATATTGATAACTATATCGTTTCAAAAGTATTTCGTAAAATTTCGAAAGTATTAACTTTGAAAAATATTTTTATTTTAAGAAAACTTGGTTGCCTATCAATGTAATGTACTTATTCATAAATGGAATATACCTTTATATTATCTCTTTTAAATATTTTGCATCTGACAAATGAACCCATATTAATAAAATATAAATAAAATGTTTAACTGTATAAAGGAACTCGTGATTTGTGAGGCATTATAACAAGATCCCCATTTTTCTCGAAGTGCAAGTCCTTGGAGCCGCAGATAAGGCGCTGACGTAGTTAAACATATTGTAATTGCTGCGATGCCAGAAACGGGTTTCCGTCCCGGCCTGGTCCGGCAGTCTGGTCATTGTTTCGGAGTGGCTTCTGTATCGGTCCCAGCATCAGATTACCACTCTATGTGCAGACAAAGGCGCAGCATCATCAGCCAATAAATGGAAGGCGTCGTTGTCGTCCTCAACGGCATCCCGATCCGCATCCCGATCCCCTCCGCTCCCTCGTTCCCCGCCCCTCATCTTCTCCAGCCTCCTGTCGCTGTCGTTACGGCCTTTGATTTTTGTGGATCAGGAGCAGCACAGTAGCCGTTCGATAATTTGCTATGGCATTCCAAGTGTATGTCTCCTTATCCGCATGTCAATCAAGCTCCTAATTATTCGCCGAATGCAAAAGATAATTGGGCCGTCGTTTTTGGGGCCTTCAACTGCTACCACCAACTGGATTTGGCCAAAACCCATTTCAATATAACAAATGAGAAAGGGTTCTGCAGGGAGGCAATTATGACAAACTCAAAAATCTGAAGGGGTCCGTGGCATCCAATTAAATCAAAGGGAATAAATAAGAGAAGTGGGGATAAGCAGGAGATAATACGGTGACATATGCGTTGAGATAGAAGGAATATTTAAACATAAGCCAAAAATATGGGTATTCCTTAAAATTCAAAATAAAAAACACTTAAAATAAAAATTTTTTAAAACAGTTTTTAAACATATGTATGTAGTTTACAAAAAAAAAATACAATAAATAAATAAAAAAATTAATTTTAAAAAAAATGTCAAGTTTTTAGTTTGTTGGGCCTCTACATAGCTTAAATAACTTAAATGTCCTAATAGTCCCTATTGTCCTTATTGGTAGTAGCTACATATATATTCCCCTTTTCAATTTTTTCAAATTTAAAATAGAGAAATTTATTTTTGCAGGTTACTCTATTTGGAACTCATGATCTCAAGAGAGCATCACTTACAGCCACATCTGAATTTTTAACGGCAGCTAATTCATTTGCCGTCCCAGCAGGTTTCCAGCTGCCTATTTCTATATATTATCAGCGAGTGGTAATCATGCTGGGAACGCATTGCACTAGGTTCACATGATCGCATATATGTCCTGTTCCTGGCCACTCGAATGCACACAGAAAAATTAATACAATACTTTAATGTTTCTATATGTTTTTAAACCCAAGAAAATTACATTTTAAATTATTAAAAATTAAATCACAAATATTTTAAAAGGCTTATAGAAATAATAATTAATGTATAATAAATTATTATACAGCTAATAAATCACTTACCTCCTTTTTTAAAAATGTTACAATTCGTAAGCTTCAGGACTTTATCTTATTTAAAGTCTTATGATATTTTTTCTATTAAAACTAGAATCTTAAATATCAATATAGAAAGAGCTTAAATAAAAAAATTATTTTTTTATATTTAAAGTCGTAAAGGACTTTTTATTTATACTATTTTCTCTTTCATAAAATCTTGTAAAGATCTAGTTAGTTGCTTAATGAAAATACATCGAATCGTGTTATTTCTTTTTGTGTATCTCCGAGTGTAATGAAATCACACATAGACGGGGAAAATGAAACTGCGATTGGAGCCGTTGAAAAAGCGAGGAAAAACGAGGCAAAGAGCGGGGCTTTACGACATGGAGACCATCGACACTTTGTACGTTGTTGTGTAAAACGATTGGCGCGTTAATCAACGTACAAATTTCCGACTTATATGGCCAGCGAATTAAATCGTTCCCCCGAGATCGGCCAGCCTGCTCAGCTGTCTTCCTGACAGCTGCCGATTAGAACTGGAGCGATAAATTATACAATTGCCATGCGTGAGACCCGCAAGAGAGAGGATCGGTTCGGGATTGGATCGTATTGGGCTCCATATATACACATATATATCGAGGACGCGGCTCCCGATTCCCCCGGCTCATCGCAATGACAATTACACTGATTACATTAAATATATGAGGCCCATATTGGGAGCCCAGTGCCGCTGGGAGTGTTAACTGTTCGCCTGTCCTCTAAAAAAAAATTAAAGTTGCAGTCGAGCGCAACTTGCACAATTTGCTGCCCCTTCAAGTATGCAACACGAATCGCTGGCCCAAAACTGATGAAAACTATGCAAATTAGTTGGGAGTTAAAAATGGGTGAAGTGGCCTTAAGAAAAGGGTGCCGTAAGTGAACATTAGACACTCTAATATTGCGGGTTTTATCCTGTTAATATTAAATCACACAACTACATCACTCAGAGTTAAAAAGATACTATAGAAAAGATGAAAAAACAATGAAAAATATGTATTAAAAAAAATGTTTAGAAAACGACTTAAAAAAGAACAATTAATTAATAAAATATAAGTAAAAAAAATAACTTTGATTTATTAACAACTCGAAAATATATTTTAAGGTATATTTCAGTCAGCGAATGAAATATTTTCAAGCTATTTAAATAAAATTAGTCTAAGATTTTTATGTTTAATTTTATTCAATTGTTCCAGTTTAAATATTTCAATTGGCTAACAATTTTCATGGCAAATTTGAACCTTATTAAATAATGTTTTAAAGGAAATTAAAAGTAAAATATAAATCTAATCTACCTCAAATACTCTACTCTTGAAAAAATCGACAAGCATGTATTTTTCGACTTAAAAACAAGGGTCTGTTTGTTATGAGTGCAGTTTGCTTAAAATTCTTGTGGCGCGTCATGAAAAATCAATTATGTTAGAACTTTCTGAGCTAAACGCTAAACAATTGCGCATAATTACGAGAGTTTGGGTCCGCATTGCATTGCCGTTGCCCTCAATTTGTGCATTTGCATAAGAGAAGGGTTGGGGTTTTAGGAGCCAAACAAGAAGGAACAACAATTAAGGTTCAAAATGGCAAAAGTTAATGACCGAACAATTGAGGAAATTCACGTAAATGACTTCGGGGGCCTGATACGGATATGGATACGGACTAGAATTGGGCGCATTCGAAAGAATGCAGGAAATGTTTAACTGGGAATCGTTTTTAGAACTAGGAACTGCGGGCATTTCAAATAATATGTGAAACGGAAACGGGTTCTGAATAAAAGTCATTTTTAAAACGCTCAGGGCGGGAATTCTGTCGAGAATAAACACTTAGTTTTTATTGTAATCAACATAAAAATATATTTCAAAACTGAATTTTAAAAAGTCTTCCAATTTTGTTTTAAAATAGTATTGTTTTTTAAAGATACATAGTTAAGACTGTATGTTATAAAGGTCATTAGCTAATAATAATTCTTATAGTTGATTTAGTTAAAAATAATAATAAATAAAGAATAAATTAAAAAATATATCAAAAATAATATCATATAAAAAATGTTTTAATTGTAAACTAAAAAAGTGATATATTATGTAAATTGTGTTTTTCGCCGCGAGCCAATTGGAAACTGATTGGACTTAAATTTCGCGGCAAAACGCCAACTTAACAGCTGCTTCGGATATCGATAAGCAGAATAGCCGCATTAGTCAACACTGGCTTACGATTTTTTAACAGTTCTGCTAATTTATTCTAACAGTACCATATCTAGAATGCGTTTTTGAAATGTAAAGAAATATCGGTACTTATTTTAGTCTATTTATTAGTTTTTTTTAGGACTGATTTAAAATAGAGCCTTAAAAGGTTAATAAATTGATAGTTGGTTAAAAAAAATTAAATATTCTTCCCTTCTTAGGCTTTGTGTCCATACAAATAATAATCTACTATTTTAAATTGCTTAATTTATTAATCAGAGATCCCATTGATGATTTCCTCTAAGTTGCAAACGGGGCATTGTCGAGCTTCATACATTGTTCCAGTAAGGCACAATATCCAAAAACCTTCCATACAATTCAGTGCTAGTAAAGGTGAGAGCAAGTAAATTCGGATTTTATCGACACAACTGAACCAAGTCTTGATCTTCATTGGAGTATTGAGATAGAGTATTCTCAATTGGCCAAGGTCCGGAACATTTTGAAAGCCATATCCTGTAATCTCAAAGTCATCATTAATCTATGAAGCGTTTTCAGAAAAGCTCACCTGGAACATCAATAAAAACGTTTGAAGAGTGCTCTTGAGTCTAATGGCATTTATCAGGACCTGAAACATGTTCAAATGTTCGGCGTAATATTGGGATAATATTGTCGCATATCCTTGCCAAATCGATTTTAATCACTTTCGTCGCTTGTAAAAAGGCGAACTCGATGTGAATTTCTTTGTAAAGGTCATAGTTCCATTCATTAAAAACTTTGACGAACCTCTCGCAGCTGATTACAAAATTAATAAGATCCCAATAATTCTCAGAAGTACGTCTGAGTACGTTACATTTGATCTGTCGAAATATCTCGTAAAGTTGGTGGTTGTGGTGATTATATTTGCAATTCTCCATCCAAACTCACAACTATTTGAATAAGACTTATAAAAACAACTGCTCAGTTGCCCTGCAGTAGTAGTGATTGATCACATAAATCTTATCGAAGGAGGTTCAGGTAATGAGGTAATGAAGATACATATATAAGATGTAATTAAAGCTTTTTCACACCATAAGCTGACCAAAATCTCTTTCGGAATACAACAATTTTAAACGGTCCTGGCTGATATATCCATTTTTACTATGAAGATTTTGATTTATTTCTTTCATATTCGACTTGAATGTTTTAGTCATTTGTTCATTCAAATTCATTAATAAATATTTAGCTTTATATTAAAAATTATACCCAAATTAAAATAAATCTCAGTTATAGTTTTTAAAAGGGAGCTGAAAAGCCCTATAAAAAATGACATTATGTTTGTGATTCGGTGAAGCTAATAAGTAATCAGCAGTTTAATTTGTTGCCCACCACGATTTTTGGTTTACCACTTAAATTTCTGACGGTATCAAAAAGAAGGCTATGCCAGATCCTTTCGAAAGTAGTTTTTAAATTCTTTAAATTTAAATTTCTAGTACTCCCGCCCGACACGCACACAAAAGCCGAACCATCCGCTTACTGCAAGCCGAAATTCAAAAATAGCAGACTGCGCGCCAAAGGAACAGCTGGTTCGGTCTATCGATAGCGGTCCGAACAGACGTTGGCCAACACTGGCAACACCGATAGCCAGGGACTATCGATAGCTGGGGCGAAGAAGGAGGAGGAGAAGCAGAGCAGAAAAACACAAAAACCAATTGTGAAAAAGTGTAAAATTCAAGGAAAATTCTTGAGAGTTTTACCCCCCACGACCACCTGCCGAAAACTACCTTATAACACTAGGTTTTTAGGTTTACAAGCGAGATTTTTGCACCTGCTAACACGCACACAGATAGAGCACTCACCCACACAAAAACCCAAATCGTCATTCCCTTTTTTTGCGAAATCCAAGACGAAGGCCACAACAAATGCAGATTGGAGCTTGATTGGTTTGCGATTACTGCCGAGTCACACGGGATCAGCAAACTATAGCCTATATAGACTATAGTTTTGTATAAAAGCCAAAAAAGAGAAAGGCGAAAAGCAGCCATGTCCGTGAGGACAAAGGTTCTGGGTCTGGTGGACGTGATGATGCGCGTTCCACCGGTGATGGTCATAGATGAGATCCTGAGGATCGGAATGGGTCTGCCCACGCGACTCTATCCGGACAAGAGTCCCGGAATACCCGCCAGTGATAGCCCTCCAACGGAATCCCCACCAGAATCGGACCAAGACCCCTTCGCCAGTATCAAGGAGTTCTTTGGCCTCGGCGGAGATAGTAGTTCGCCAATGACCACATCCGCCGCGGGAACCGCTCAATCTGCCCTGGAACAGACGATCGAAAATGCATCCAGATCGGCGCAGTCGCACGGAATGCTCAGCTCCGGATTCAACTCCCTGATGGACGAACTATCCCACGACGAAACGCTAGCGCATGTGCTCAGCATCACCACTGTCAAGTTCGTAATCTGCCTGTTCGGTGAGTAATCTTAAATAGTCAATTTTCCTTACCTAGGGCACATGGAATTCTACTAGGAGAGGTAACATACACGTCATTTTAAAAAACCCGGGTTAAAGTACCATCAATATATTGTATTCCATATATCGAGTAGTTTCAATTCTTTATCCTCGTCGGTCCTTATGTATGACTTACAAGTATGAATGGCCGATAATACATAAACCAAGTAAAGACCATAAGTAACAACATTTGTCATAAATATGTGGAATGGTTGTTTATGTTATAAAATACAGACGTTAGCTTATTATTTATCATTTATTTTTTAAATGAAATACTTAAGTAGACAACTACAATTACTTGTGGACAATTAATGTTGTTTATAACAACGATCTCTATCAAATATTATCAACATTTTTATTACCCATGCGCCCTTTTCTGAATCATAGCTAACTACAAATATTTTAAAGGTAATTTTAGGAAATTAAGTGATTAAAATAAATATAGATTGGCTAGTAAAGGGAGATAACATGTTATCAAGCAGTTTTTAACTATTCTTTCAAGTAGAATTATCTTTCTGAATGGTAGTTTTTGCAAAATTCAATCAAAGGCTTATTTCTTCGAGAAACTTACAACGTGACCAACAGGATAATTTTGTATGATTTATACCTTTACGCGCAACGAAAAAAGGCCGCTGATGTAAATAATCGTAATCTTTAGCATATAACAAAATCCAAGCTATATTTTGATTGCAACCAAAATGTAAACACAATCAATAAAATTATTTAAAGTTCACTGTATTCGACCTGCTGACGAAACCAAAATTCCAAGGGCCGCTTATCGGACGCACTTTGAACACCATTAAAACGTAAATATTTGATTAAATTTCTTCGTTTTACTGCAGGTTTCCTATCCGCCGCTTGCATCTTTATGCTATGGACCCGTCACCTGGTGATGGTCTACATGTTCCTCACCTCGCTCGGCCTCACCTTCCTGTCCTACTGGTCCAATGTAAGTGCCTTGGCGCTGATGGAGCGGAGCCCCAGCATACTGGAGGATCTCATGTCGCTGAACACCACGAGATTGCTGGATTCGGGCGGGGTGGTCATGTCGCTGGCGCCGCATCTGATGGCCCAGTGGTTCATGGGCATGCTGTTCGCCTACATCCACCTGGGTCCGAGGTTCGAGATGCTCCAGAAATGGATGCCCATCATCTTCGCTAGTCCGATTCTGGGGGCCATGCTTCCACTGCCGCCCAAGATGGTGCAGCACCTACCTGTTGTGGCCGGATTCGCGCCCATCATCCTCACGAAGATCACGCTGATGCACAGCGCCATGGAGGCCAGTCGAACGGTCTACAATGGGTATCAGTACGCCATGAACTTTGTGTCCAACTTTGGACTGTCTGCGCTCATCGAAAACGAATGGCAGCGCCTGAATGTGCCCAATGTGCTAAGGGTTTTTTGGACCATCAGGTGTGTTCAGATATATTTCTTTAATTTATGTTAATTATGCACATAACACAGTCTAATTGTTTCACTTTCTGCGGTAATGTGTCAGTAGAACATGGTCATTAATCAACTTGTTTTTTAAATATTCATTAATTTTTCTAGAATCCAGATCCTCTGGATGCATTTCCTTAAAATCATAAACTAATAATCTCCTAAATTGTATAGGATTATTCAAGGCGGCTATGCTTTGGCCACGACGGAATCCGAGGAGCCACTGGAACTGATGCCGGCTACGCAGAAGCTTCTCGTCGATGGCTGTGAAACTCTGACGGCGGTTTTAGGAATGACGGGGGTCATCTCGATGATCTGCCACTACATCGGACGCGGCTTCCAGTGGTACCTGCTGACCTACGACAACGACGAGGAGAAGTCACTGGGCACTGTCTCAGCAGTGCTTTTCTACATCCTGGCCCTGCAGACGGGACTGACTTCCCTGTCGCCGGACAAACGCTTCATTAGGTTGTGCCGGAATCTGTGCCTGCTAATGACCGCCCTGCTGCACTTCCTGCACAACATAGTCTCGCCCATTCTGATGTCATTGAGTGCGGCACGGAATCCCTCGCGAAAACGCCATGTGCGCGCCCTCACCGTCTGCGCCTTCCTCGTGGTGATGCCCGTGTCCCTTCTCTACTACCTCTGGTCACAGCGATCCATCTCCACCTGGCTTTTGGCGGTTACTGCCTTCTCCGTCGAGGTGATAGTCAAGGTGCGTATCTCATTCGAAATTGAATTTTAAGATTGATAACAGTTCGAAATTTCCTCAAATACAGTCTTTTTTGTACACCCATTCAACTTAATTAATGAAATGTAATCGATGTATTCAATCATTGAACTTTAGACCCACGTTTATATATACTTTTATTTTAATTGTTGGTTTAATTTGCCAATTAGTAGCTTACCTATTAATATTAACATATTAAACCAATTAAAAACATACTGTGAATATCAGTATTGGCTGATAACTTAATATTTTATATATATTTTTTTTAGATGTTGGTTAAATCAGACATTTAGCTTTTATATTAATTATACACTAAAGATTCCAGTAAAAAACAACGCAGTACACATAATATAAAAATAAATATCAACTTTGTCTTCTGTCTCGGCAGATATCTTGCAGAGGGTATTACAATTTTAGTCAGAGGTTTGCCATTTAAAGTTTACATTTTCTTGATCTGTATCAACAGTCTTAGCAATCTAGTCTCTAACATATAAATCTATCAGTGTAAAAGATTGACTGAATCGCCGTTCTACCATACATCTGCCATAGGAACGATCGAAAACTTCGTATTGTTTATCGGAATAACTTCTTTGTTTTAAAACATTTACGCATAAGACTCGTTTGTTGTTACTAATGAATAAAAACTTCATTTTTTTTTGCTTTTTTACACACGAAATTTAAGAACTGTTAACACTAGACTAATTACATATTCTCCCTCAGGTGCTCGTCTCGCTGGCCACCTACACACTCTTCCTGCTGGACGCCAGACGCCAATTCTTCTGGGAGAAGCTGGACGACTACCTGTACTATGTGCGTGCTTTTGGAAACTCTGTGGAATTCTGCTTTGGAATCCTGCTTTTTATCAACGGTGCTTGGATCCTGATCTTCGAATCGGGTAAGTTGATGGCCAGCCTCCCTCGTCCTTGTTACATTAACACATGAGTAAGCAAAGCCATCGCCGCCATCGATGCCTATTTGTGCATCGGATCCGGATATCGAATCTCGAATCCACATCGTTTCGCGTCCAGATTTTCTGTTCTGTGTGTGCATGTAATATTTTTATTTAATTGATTTTGTGTACCGATAACTATAACTTGATAGCCCAAAATGCTACAGGCGGCGCCATCAGAGCGATTATGATGTGCATCCATGCCTACTTTAACATATGGTGCGAGGCCCGGGCGGGATGGTCGGTGTTCATGAAGCGGCGTTCGGCGGTCCACAAAATATCTGCCCTGCCAGAGGCAACTCCTGCTCAACTGCAGGCATTCGACGATGTCTGTGCCATTTGCTATCAGGTGGGTTTTGCCTTACAATTTCAATACATTATTCATTATCTTATTATTTTATTCAGGAAATGTATTCGGCCAAGATCACACGGTGTCGTCACTTCTTCCATGGCGTCTGCCTACGCAAGTGGCTGTACGTCCAGGATCGTTGCCCCTTGTGCCATGAGATCATGATGTACACGGACAAGGCGGAGGAGAACGCACAGGAAGTGGAGCCAGCGGCGGCTGCCCAAGCCGAACAGCCACTCCGTATCTACCCGCGAGACGTGAGTACAAAAAGGAGGGATATTTTAATACAAAAATTAGTGCTACAAGAAAATATCATGTTTAAATAACGGTTAAAACAGTCGACTCATAAATTATGCACTTCTTAAATTCGATTCCCATTATTTTCTACAAATTTTTGGGGACAGAAATTATAGCAATGATTTTTAAAACAAAAAGCGCAAAACTAAGACCTATAATAATGTTAAAAGAAATATTGTTATTGATATTCCAGGACGGAAACAACGCTGGTGCGCCGCGACGTTCCCCCGAGCGGGTTCCAGTCGAGATGCCAGAGGTGGCCACCACTTCGTCCAATGCAGCAGCGACGATCGGGGCGGAAGCAGCAGCGGCCATTGTGGAGTCAGCAGCGGCTGTTGGCGAGGCCAGGTCCCTGGGCAATGTCTCCAGCAATGCCACCCAGCGAATGAGCGCCAGCGGGAGCAGTGAGAGCAGCTTTATCACAGCATCCGCCCAACCTCCTCCACCAACGGCCACTTCTGCAGCTGCTGTGGCCACGGCAGCGGCCAGCAATACGACGCACATGTTTCGGATGACGCAGGACCAGCAGTAATCGGATCTGATCGGAACGGGAGCGCTCGGCGTACCTTGTTTATCTTCTTTATCTTACCACTTGGATATGTTTTGTGTGTAGTGTACTTATGTAAAAATTGCAAATCTTTGTAGCGATCCAAGGCATCTCTATTCCTTTCAAGAGCAATTTATTCCTACCACACGACGACACACTTTCTATCACACAAAACACACGACAAGACACCTTCGATCCTCATAGGCACAGACATTTACGTATATATATATAAAACACGCAGCCATGCTTAATTAAATTATATACCATGCATATAATAGCGCGCTGAACGATAATGAGACGATAATTAAACCAGAGATCTATGTACGTTAAGTTTATGGTAAAAAGTTGATCCAAAAATGTTGAAATACACACAAAAAAATGTAGCCCTAAGTTTGCAGCGGATAAAAACAGTGTAAAAATACCATCAGCGGATGAAGAAAAACAAAAACGATAAACATTTTATGTGGTGAAGTCTGAAAATGATTTAATCAAGTTACCAAGTAAATCTAGTTAAAAACATAACACGAATTCAACATAGATGAAAAATGAGAGCAAAACGAAAAATTGCGTTGTATAATTTTGTAATGTAAAGATAACTTGAATAAGAAAATCCTTGTTTTGTTTTTTATTTAAATTACCTATGTACGTTTATTTAGATTTAATGTAATTAAACGAAAGAAGCGGAAAATACAGAAAACATCAAAAACAGTCTAATGTAAGAAAAAACACACAGAAACAATTGTGTTGACTTTTGACTAGAGGTATGGGTGTTTAGATTTCGGTAAACAATAATATTAACATGAATTACAGTGCGTTTCAGAGCAAATTAGGTTTATTTTTAAAGAATCCTTTAGGATATGCTGGCATTATCAATTTTTCTTTGCTGTTTTTCGTAAACTGCCTTTCAGCTTTGAAACGCACTGATGTACCAGCCAAAATCAATTCCTTAGTTGAAAATCAAATCATTATAGTTGCGGAGGAGGTGATATGGGGACACACGGCAACAGGTGGTAGTACGGACCACGGTGATACGATCGGCACGTTCGAAATTGGCTTTAACCGTCTCATAATAGCGACCATCGCTGGAAACAAAATAATGTTACCAAAAAAAGGTACAAAATTATAAATTAAAACAAACTCACCTGAGAACCATGCAGCGTAATTTGAGGCATTTGACACGCAGTATATCGATGGCCTTTTGGCTTTTGTCGGAGAATCGCAGGTTATCCGGATCCCAACGCAATTCCAGGCGCTCCAAGTTGCCACAATTTGAGGCGATGGTGTCCATCAGCTGGTCCACATGGATGTTGACTCCTAGCTTTTCAGCGGTGCCCATGACAATGATCCTAACAGGGAAGATAATCCATTTTCTTATTCATCCCAATTTTCTAATTTATATAACCTACTTGCAGTTGCCCAGCAATGGAAGAATGCTCATCCACAATTGATCTGTGATGTGCGGCATTCCGGAGAGGCAACAGGCGCTAAGCTGGTGACCCTGACGCTGCACAAACTTAAGGAGTCCCTCATCCGTGATGTTGTCCGACGAGTCCAGATCCAATGAAATAAGGGATCTAAAAGGTAAAAAAAATATATATACAACGTTGTAAACATGTACAACTTGTGTTTCATCCCACCTGGTACTTCCAGACTCCATCCATTGCTTCAGAACGCCGTCATTAAATCCATTGATCTGTCCGGCTGACAGGAACTTTAAGGCCGGGATCCTGGTAAGCATATCCACCAGGCACTCGGGCGAAAGATCCGTGGCCGTGATGTCCAATTCCTGCAGGGCGCACTTATCCCACTCGGCCTGCATCACGAACTCGGACTTCAAACTGGTGCCGTTCATCAGCAGGCAGGTCAGGCGCTTCGATCTCTGGATCAGGGTCTTTAAAGTGGAACCTGTGACCTTGTTGCAGAAGTTAACTGCCAGACACTCTAGCTGAATGCAGTTGGAGCTGAAGGCATCGATGTGCGAGTCGTCGATGAAGTTGATGCCGTACAAATTGATCACACGCAAATTGGGCGTGGCCGATTTGAGTTTGTGGACATTGATGACCTCGTAGATCTCCTCCTCCTCCTCCTCGCACTTCTCATAGGTTCCTATCAAATGGAGCACCTCCAGTCCGTTGATGAAGTTGTAGATCTTGCGCATGAAGCCCTCCATGAAGATCACTTCGGAGAGACAGACACACATGTACCGGAGTTTGGTGGGAAAGGCCTGCATCTCGCTGAAATCGTGCAGCTGCATGGCTGAAAAGAATTAATAGTTAATTAAATAAAACAATTAATCAATGATCAACTGAAATACCAACCCGTGGAGAAGTCCAGCAGCATGTGGGTGAGATTCGGACACTTGGCAGACAGTTCGTGGAGCACCGTGTGCGTGATCAGCTCAATGGGGAGTTCTATATAACGGAGAGTAGGACCAAATCGCACGGAGATCAGCTGGAGCAACATCTCCAGGGAGCCCACATGCAGTCCAGACACCTCCGGCCGCAGGGAAACATTCTTCCAAAGACGTGTATCGTAGGCAATTTGGCGCCATCGACGACAAATCCGGGCCAGGCGACAGATCTCGCGGTGCGACAGGTATGAGAATATGTGCAGCAGCACCTTGTCGGGCAGCTTCTCGATGGTCTGCGGGTGAGAAAAATATTTTAGATACACAGAAAACAAATTAAAAACATATATACGTATTCGTAAGCACTATTTTCCTACTTATTTGAATCAAATTAAACGAAATATAAAACTTTTTGGATGGTTACCAAAAATCTACAACTTTTTATAAATAGTAAATCGAACATATTAAAATTGTTCTTAAAATTATACACATTAAATTCAAGTACAGGTTAATTATACTTTTTGTATTTATTTTAGAAATAATCAAAAGAATTGGAGAACTTCTAGTAGTATTTCAAAAAAGTATTCAATTTTTGGTGAGAGTAAAACACTATGATATTAATTTTCAAATATTTTTTGAATATTCAAATAATGATTTGGAATTTTTGTTGTATGGTTTACTACTAATGGTATTTATTTTATTCGATTTTTTATTTGAATGAGAATACGCACAAACTTTCACACAAATGTTTTTATCATGTTCGATATAGTTGTTCATATATTCAAATGGTTTTATATTTTTGGTTTGAGTGCATTTTTTTATCAGAGGGGGATATTTTCTCCTGGTTTTCAGGAGATAAGTGAGGTCTCAAAGTAATCTTAAAAACTCGCTGTACCGTATCGGCGAAGGGACTGCGAACTGTGCCATCGGACAGGTAAACCTGCGAAGCCTCGACGGCCAGCTGACCCCAGATATCCGTGGAAATATCCATTCCTCAGGCCACTCGAGTATATAGTATCGATTCGAAAGCACTTGCTTATATAAAATATAGGTAAGAACCGAGAAGACTACGCGTGGTCTGGCCTGCCAGCTGAATATCCGTCGGACTGAGCTACTTTCGCGCTACTGCGAGAAGGAATCCCATCGACATCGACATCGGAATCTCCAAAAGAACCGCCAGGCAATAGACTCAAGAGAACCAGGCCACTATTTATAGACGAGCGCTAGTAACGAGAGCAGTGGCAGATCTGTCTCGGATGCATCAGCTGTTCATGGGCACCGCACCACTCACGCACTCTCCCAGAACCACCCGACCACCTAGCCACCCACCCGGTGGTGCACAGAAAAATATACCACTTCATCAACAACAAACAAATAATTGGAAAGATATGATCCTTTTCAATATAGAGTCCTAAATATTATCCGTTTTAAAGTAAGCTTTAAAAAAAGACTTCCTATAGCAACTAAACAAAATTGCATTATTAAAATGTTTTTATCTAAATCGAAAACACAGCTTATTGAATTGTAAACTTTTTTTAACATTCGGTTCTAATTTGTACCTTATCCAAAAACATAGACACATTACAATAAATTGGTAAATTTCTAAAAAAAATGTGATTCAATAATACAAAAAGCCAAAAAAAAAATTATCTATCTTTTCCATCTATCTACTTTATAGGGAATTGTAATAGCTTTTGAATGATTGTAAAATTTTCAAATTCAAAACGATTCATTTCTCAGTGCAAGCGAAAGCATATAGAAACGCATGTTGTTTGTTGCCAAGATTTCTATATACACGCGATCGGTGGTCTGGGTTTGTTTTGTTTACTATATCCCATAGCACAAAGTACTTACCAGTCGCGTCTTCACCGCCCCAGAATCGTGAAGTCCGATGGCTGAGGTTTGCGCTGCCAAAACATTCCAATTATCCATCGTGGAACTGGCCTAACTCTTGGATCGGATCAGCCGGGGAATTGTCTGTGTGTTCTGTTGTATAATATATAGTTTCTCTGGGTCCGTGTAGTTCTGGTTCTATCTATGGGAAATATACAGGCTGGCGCCGGTTTGTGTCGTCGTGGGAGTATTTTGCAGGCGACGTCTATAAGAAGCACAAGCATTCATTCATGAGACAAGCAAGATTCTACGAGGCATTCCTGATTAGTCACGTTTCGATGCTGTTTCTACCAATTTCAATCTTTGTAATCGTTTTTACAAAATTGGGAGATTAACATTTGAATAACGGTTTGTTTTCTTTAAGTTGTATCTTCAATATATTTAATTAGAAATTCAAACAATTTTAAAATCGGACCATTTCTAGAAATGTTAGCATATAATCTGTTACACGTTTTGACAGACAATGAGATGATTTTTTCATTTTATTTCGTAATAATCCGATAATAATAGTACAGTACTGAAAAAGCTTCGTTCTACTTCTTAACTTTTTCTGTATTGTAAAATAAATAATACTATTATGTATTTTAAGTAAGAGTGTTCGATGCATAAATCAAGCCACAAGCATTTCCTTAACTGCATAGTTCGATATCGAAATGAGGTTAAAAGCGGCATAAAACATATAATTACCCATTTGATTAATTGATTAAACAAAATTGTTAGGCACTCTACAAATAAATGAACACGAGAACAAAAGCCATTAATTAATTATTTATTGCCCCGCCTCAAACTGCAGTCAGTTGGTTAAAATAGCCAATTTACAACAATAGCACTGGCAAATTTTGAAGAATTTAGTGAACATTTTTTTTTTTTTTTTTTGATTTGCGAGTACACATCAAAATTTTGTTCACCCTTTGCCTGGGTTATTTATAGTCGGATTCGCCTGGTTCTGGTCACAAATTGCGAGGCAGCACCGAAAAATAAATGCAATTTCGTAACTTTCACAGAACAATGTTGGGGGTCGAACATACTTGGCAAATTGCACTTGAGATTTCACTTCTTTGATAGCAAATTACTGGCAATTAGTGGCAAAAATCCGGCGAAAATCGATGGGTTTTATGGCATTACATGGGCCAAATTTTCCGCGTACTTGACGGCTCCACAACTCTCTGGCAACTGAGAAAATCAGGCGTCCGCGGAAGATGGTTTATGCCAAAATCCACTCGGCTAGTCGGTCGTATTATATAGTTGGATATGGAGGGGTAATTGGGGGACGATCTCAGTACAAAGAGCGAGTGCAGGCGTCATTTGCCGCAGCCGGCAGACATGGCACCCGGCCAACGGAGGAGCACCTCACGATCATTAGGAAACATCTATAATAATATCAATTATTTTACATCCAAATTAGCGTTTTTAAATAATTGACTTGGTATGTACTTTAAGCAAGCCAATCCACCCTCTGTCTAATTACGTAAATTTGTAGCTGTTAAGGAATCATCCCGAATATAAAATATAATAAATAATATATGTTCCATAGCTGAACACTACACTAGAGCGGATACTCCATAAATCCAACCACATCCAGATAACATCTTATTGTACACGCTGGCCTTTGGAGTAAAAACAACAGACCCCAGATCTTAACAAGATTGGATGTTGTGAAGAGAATAAAATATATATTTTACAAAAATAAAAAAAGCCTATTGGACATAGGAGGCTTAGTATCTCTACTCATAAAAACAGTAACCAGACCATGATACAATAACATAAGGTAGTCTCGTCGGCTGTCTAAACGTTCGGGTTTTGGTCAGTGCGTGTTCGTCTTTCGAAGGGAAAGGTTGTCTTGTATTGTATGTTATTGTATCATGAACCAGACTATTGGAAATATTAAAGAATACGAATTTAAACAAGAAAGGAAAGCTAACTTCGGGCGGAGCCGAAGTTGATATACCCTTGCAGAATACTCTGTAAATTATATTCTCCAAAATTATTCATATGATGCATTCTTAATACTCATAAAAATCCCAACTTCCTAACTTTAAAAACACCAAAGTTATGGCATTTCCAATCGTTCAGTTATATGGCAGCTATAAGATATAGTCGGCCGATCCTTATGAACTTTGGTAGGTCGGATTGATTGGCCAAAAATAAAACCCATAGACAATCCCAACTTCCTAACTTAACAAACACCAAAGTTATGGCATTTCAGATCAATTAGTTATATGGCGGCTATAGGATATAGTTGGCCGAACCTTATGAAATTTGGTAGATTGTATTGAATGGCCAAATATAAAACCGGTAGAAAATCCCAACTTCCTAACTTTACAAACACCAAAGTTATGGCATTTCCTATCAATCAGTTATATGGCAGCTATAAGATATAGTCGGCCGATCCTTATAAATTTTGGTAGGTCGGATTGATTAGCCAAATATAAAACCCATAGAAAATTCCAACTTCCTAACTTTTCAAACACCAAAGTTATGGCATTTCCGATCAATCAGTTATATGGCAGCTATAGGATATAGTCGGCCGATCCCGGCCGTTCCGACATATATACTGCGGCAAAGGAAAGAAGGCTGTGTCAAAGTTTCAACTCGATAGCTTTAAAACTGAGAGACTAGTTTGCGTAGAAACAGACAGACGGACAGACGGACATGGCTATATCAACTCAGGAGGTGATCCTGATCAAGAATATATATACTTTATAGGGTCGGAGATGTCTCCTTCACTGCGTTGCACACTTTTGACCAAAATTATAATACCCTCTGCAAGGGTATAAAAACGAGACTTTGATAAGAAGCAGAAATGTCGCACATTGTATTTGCTTAAAAATTAGAAATGGAGAAAACTTTCACTTTTTGATGTTTATCATGAATATATTCTTATACATTATAGGGTCGGAATTGTTTCCTACAAAGCGTTTCAAATTTTCGACGGAAATTATAATACTTATTACATTATATTTCTAACCTCCTCTGCAGAGAAGGTTAGAAATATAATGTAATAAGATTTATGATTTTATTCTGTGTAGTGCCAAGAAGCATGAAATGGGAAACTGGCTTGATCTTTTAAAGGTTTTGGTATCAACAATGACGCCACAGTGGACTAGTACAATTGGTTAAATCGCTTTAAATCGCATTAGACTTATTGGGCAACTATAGATGAACATGTCGATGCTGTTGAGCTTGCCAGTTTTAAATGCTCATTTTCAGTTTTTAATATTATAAAAGATAAGATGGCAAACAGAGTTCGAATATTGTTACCAAATCAGGGCAAGAATTTTGAGTCGTCTACAAAAATGTTGAGACGTTTAAAAAGCTAAAAGATAATTGCGCTATTCAATGTTAAATTTACAAGAATGTCAAAAGAATAATAATAAGATGAAAAATGTATAATAATCACTAATATTTCTGACAAAGCTTTTGAAATTCAAGGTGTTTTTAAATTTAGGGGAAAAACTGGATTATTGAAACGAATAAGACGAGATTATTTAGGGCAAAAGCAGAATTTGCATCTGGCAACACTGCTTTTCTGATCAGTCGTTCTCGCGGTGATATCGATATTCGTAGGTGTGTCTCAGTGCGCGTGCATGTGTCAACAGTGGAGTTTCCTTGTTTATTCGTAATTTCTGTAAGAACTGCAAGGTAAAGTCAGTCTGATAAACAACTAATAGCTTTTAAAAACAGAAAGTGAGCTGCCCAACTGCAAACATAAACTAACATATGCAATAACAAAGTTTGTTTATATTTTTATTGTGCACTGCCAGTTGCAACCAGTTGTGTGTGTGTGTGTGTTTTGGAGAGAGACGCCCAACGAGTTGTAATTGTAATACCTATCGAACAAAAGTTGTAAATTACCATTTCAAAACAATAGTTTTTTACCGTAATCCTTTAAAATGTATATTTTATTAATATACCCTTATCAATATAATATATAGCATAGGTAAATAGGTACTTATTACGAGGTCTATTGTAAAAATGTTGATCTGATGTTTTTGTTATTAGGGGTGGTCACGTCATGGACTTAAAAGTGTTATCATTTTAAAACATTTGTTTATAAAAAGAATAGTTTTAAGAAAAATTTCGCTGTTTATATTAACCGACTTTTAAAATAACGCGAGTCATAAAATTTGTATTACGATTTTTGTAAACTATTGTTTTGTTAAAATAACTTTTTATTTATTTATTCGTAATCTGATATTTAAGTGAAAGAAATATTATTCCTCCTTTAAGAAAATGTAAATGTAAAGCTGGATTACACCACCCACAATTTCCCTCAAGCAATTGTCGTAAACGAATTAGGTGTAATTACAATTATCCGAAATTAGAGTGCCTCAAAAGTGCCCAATTAATTAAGACTAACACAATTTAAACTGCCGATCCCAAAAGACCAAAGACAGATTGAAGATTACAGACATTTTTACCCATAAATCTATTGCTAAATATAGTTTAGAGATATTTAAAATAGCGTTAGGCTTGGTATTGTAAACGAGTTAAATTTCGAAATGTCCATGTTTTTATTTTAAATATCGTAATTATAAAAATAGTTTTTTTTTATAAACTATGACTACACCAAAAGGTTTCACATGATTTTAATTGCAGATAAACAAGACTGTTCTAATACGATTTAGATAATCATAAAAGCCATCTAAGAGGTCTGTCCAGAATAAATATGTCACACCTTGTATTATTGTTCCTAATAATCTGTTCAATGATTTTTAATATAGTCTATTTGCCTCAGGAACTACGGTACACCGATCCAGACCCCAAGATGTCATACTCAGCGGAGCGAGCATTGTCCTTTCTGTATCCTCTGGCGATCGTGGCCTCGGTGATCTGCTGCATCACGTCGGCGGTGGCCTGGTCGCATTGGCAGTACGTCCTAAATGCCTGTCCGGACACCAACTGCGGATGTGTGCTCCACGCCAGGAGCACCTATAATAACTTCGAGGGCGGAAATATCGCCTATTGCCATTATGCCACCTATGGACTCCTGTTGCCCCTGCTTTTCGCCGTCGTGCTGGGCGTCTATCATGGTTATCGGATGTGCATCGGGCGTGGCAAACCCAAGGCGGGCACAGCCACCATCCGGCAGCGGTAAGTATTCTAATTCCGATCGAGTGTCTGGGGGTCAAGCGGGTTAATCGGCTTGCCACATTTGTTTGCTCGCCATCATGGGGCGTCTGGGTTGGCCTTATGCTAATGATGACCACTCTGCGGATGAGTAACGCAGCAATATGTGCCAGGCCTCAATAAATCAATTAAAAAATGGGAAGTTTAAAAGAAAATATGGATATTTTACCAAAATGTTAATTAAAAATTAAAAATTAAATGAAATAATAGTGCGAATTGTGATAATCTTAATTTAATTTGGCCGATCTGAAGAATTTTATGAATTTCTATCAACAAATATTCTTTAATGGAATCTACATTTTTTATTTAATTTTATTTCTGAAAAAATATTAATAAAAAATTGAACTTTAAGCCTGCAATAATCTGTTAAGATAACCTTTCTTTTGATTTATTGCTAACATTATAACATTTGAGCTTAGCTGAGTTTAAATAAATAATTGATTTATAATAGTCATGTCTAATTGAATTTGATATTCAATACAAAATATATATATTTAAGACTTAATTTCCTGTTCTTTCCAATAGTTCTGGAGACATGATTGTGGTAACCACTGAGTCTGAACTAACTCCCGACGGCCTCTCACCTTACTATTGTGAGTTTATTGCAGAACGAAGGTTTCCCGACATAATATTTAATATCGTATTTTAATTTTAGGGCTCCCTGCCACTCTCATCTCGGTTATCATGTTCATCTACCAGCTGATCTACTCTGCCATATTTACGGACGGATTTGAGGTGACCTGCAAACAGTACAGGGAGTCGCTTTTGAAGGAAATCCAGGGCGTGGGAAATATAGTGCCCGTGATCAAGGGACGACTGTCGTGCGCTGCTATCTTTGACTTTATGGACTATTTGGTGGAGAGTGTATCCTATGAAAGAAGGCGCTATGGACGCATTAACACCGCGATATGTCTATATTTCACTCTGATTTTCACCTGGGTAGCTCTGTTTGCCTGGTTTGCCATCGGTGTGATCAATATCGTCCACCTTCGACGCACAAAAGCCGCTAGAGTTTAAATATACCGGGCAGTGGATTAAGAGGAGCTGGAAAATCCTGCCAACACTCGATTGGAATTAAAGAAACAATGAAAAATTCACCACGCACATTCGCCTTATATTTAGTCGTAGCCTTACGAAGCGCCACTTATTTATTAGTAGACACACACGTCCACGGTTCAAATCAAAACACATTGTACAAAGAAATGTATGAACAACGAGCGATAAATTAAATCACGATATAATTTTTAATTTACTTTTTTAATGGGTAACGGACAATAATATTACAATGTTGCAATCATCACAATGATCCTATAGGATAATAGTGATTTTATTTCTTACTGAAACATTAAGACCCTATTTGATCTAAATTTTAATCTTATCAAATTTAAGCTGTTTAATTTAAAATTGTTACAACTAATAAGGAATATTTTTTTAGTATTAATTGCAATTTTTGCATAAATAAGAAACGAGTAGTTGCACTGGAAAGTCTTTTATAAAAGGTGTTTAAAAGGTAACTCATTTTCGCAAAAAAAATATTAAAAGTATTGAAATCCGTTTGTCTAAGATAAAATAAGTTTAACAAAAATCAATAATAAACTTAGTATTAATTGAAGGTTAACGGTGTTTGATAAGAAGTACACCAAAACTGTACCTAGGTACGTAACTATCTAGGTACCGTAACGGTATTTCTGGTATGTTTTGTGTAGACTAATTTTAAGATTTTATTATACGCACGGTCATACCGTTTATATGCTGACGTGCCGCAAAGGAATTGTTTACGAGAGAACTAGCTAATTAAAAGAAAAATCTCAAACAAAATGCTGGACATACAGACTCACATGGTAGGGCATTTTATTCCTTAATCCTTGAATGCTTAATAAACCTTTTATTATTGCAGGACTTTGCTGGCCAGGGAAAAGCTGAGCGTTGGTCCCGCTTTATCATCACATTTTTTGGAGTTATCGGCTTGATTTACGGAGCCTTTGTGCAGCAATTTTCGCAAACTGTCTATATCCTGGGAGTCGGATTCGTGCTCTCCTCCTTGGTAAGTTCCTTAACACTTTAACATATGCACTTATAACTCCGTATAAACCCATTTCAGATCACCATTCCACCCTGGCCCTTGTATCGCCGTAACGCTCTGAAGTGGCAAAAACCCATCGACACGGATGCCAAATCCTCCAGTTCCGAATCCGGTGATGAGGGCAAAAAGAAGAAGAAATAGTCGTAGCCAACAGTAATGTGTATTTCTCACTATCCATTATAATATACATACATAGATAACTAAATGGGACGTCGGTATGATATTAGATCATTATGATCGTAGTACTTATGAATAAGATCGTACATGTTGGCGAAGAAAAACAGCAGGTTGTCATATTGTCCATTGTAGGGAGATACCCTATCCATGTCCTCGATGGAAGTATCTATCTTTAAGGGTGCTGCCAGTTGATAAAACCCTTCGGTAATTTCGAGATTATCTAGTCCTCTGTATAAAGAATTCAAGCCCCAGGCATTTATGTGCACTTCGAGGAGGAATTGGTGAACGGCTTCTATCGTGGCCAGATACCAACGTGGACTTCCCCGCTGATGACGCCAAAATTGGGATAACCTATTTTGTAAGACTACGGTTCTAAGACTCCGAATCCTTTCATCTGCGTAGATACCGCGACTTTGGTTCCAAGTGCTGTCTATGAAGACAGCTCGACGAATGGGCAGGTTCTCCAGGTTCCAGGTTTTCTTCGGGGATTCCTGATCCTTCAAGTGGGGTTCCTGCACCTCCACCTCATCCATTCTCCTTCGCAGCATGGTTCCCATGTGATGACCTTTTGGCAGTCCATAGTTATCCCCTATCTGCAGCTGGATGTTCCTTTCAAAAAGTTGAGGTACCGTCAGGGCAGTGGCACTGGGAAATATTAGAACCACTCCTGGTTCCTGCCGGTAGTCGGGTATATCCGGAAAGGTGTGAATCCTCACGTGTTCCGGCGCCAAAACAGCCGCATGAACAGCAGTACTTTTGCCGTCTATTTCCTTCTTGTGCTTGATTATGTCTATTCTAAGCGGTAGCTCAACGCGTGGTAGTAGCTCCTCCAATTCTCCCACCGGTGTGTAGCAACTATAGCAGAAAAACTTGCGCGAACGATTGCACAATTTGCAATTGTGGCGGCCCTCGATGGAATCCAGTATTGTGTGATCCGAAATCCGCATATTTACAAAAGGATATTTGCGGGTCCGCTGCGGTGCCTCCAACGGATGCGACATTTTCCCGGAAAATCCCTATAATATAACCAAAACAATTGGAATAACAAATTTGTAATGGAAATGGCCAACAAAAATATCGATAGCAATCAGCTGATTTTGGTAGGGCTGGCGGTTACACAAAAAACATGTGCGCTGGAATATCTCGATTGCGACATAAAAATCATGTAAAATATGTGTAAAAAAAACTTTGTGTTTTCAAATCTTCTTCAGTGACAATAACTTTAAATTTAAAATTAAAAATATATTTTTACTCCATTGACCTACCTTTCTTTATGTTCAGTAACTTAATAAGTAGTCCGAAGTGTCCCACAATTTTAAAGTGCCATGTTTCTAAGGATTGGCATATTGTGGATTGATTCTCTAAAAATCTGCATTCAAATTTTCTCATTTTAACGTTGATCAAAATTTTGACTCAATTTTATGTTAGTTATTTCTAAGTTTCCGATGCCTTGTAAAAAGGTGTCCCTTAGTTGGATTTCTAGAGTCCATAAGTTAACCATATTTAAGCCGATTTTAAAGCGGCATACCTCTAAAGACTTCTGGATTGATTCTCTAAAAATCTGCATAAAAAAATCTGCAAATTTTTAATTTTAACGTCGATCAAAATTTTCACCCATTTTTATGTTAGTTATTTCTAAGATAGCGATGTCTTGTAAAAGGGTGTCCCACAATTGGACTTCTAAAGTCCATAACTTTACAATATTTAAGCCGATTTTAAAGTGGCATACCTCTAAAGACTTGTGGGTTGAATCTGCATTCAAATTTGTCATATTAATTTCAGGCCAATTTCGAACAGGCAAATTTCAAGCCTTATAAAGTTTATATATTCCTTGCATCACCATGTCCGTCTGTTCGTCCGTTTCTATGCAAGCTATTCCCTCAGTTTTAAAGCTATTAATATGCAACTTCTTATTTTTGTTGTAGGTAGTATATAAGTCTACCCGGGCTTACTATATCATATAGCTTCCATAAGAACAACCGGGAAAAACAGGGAAATGAAATTATGACTTTGTTGCTTTTAAAAAAAATTATCTATTTCATCAAAGATATAGTATTTTTTTAAAATTTTAGAAATACGGTTTTCATATAGCTGCCATATGAACAATCTGGATGAAGGGAAATAAAATATAACTTTATTGTTTCGAAACATATACCCTATACTTCGAGATTTAGTGGATTGAGAATTTAGATTTACTTTTTTAATTGTAAAAATATAACACAATGCACAATTAGCAATTGTGCAGACCCTCGATGGAATAATCTAACCGCTGCAGCGACATTTTCCCGCAACATATTTTAAATTGCCAGTAAAGTAATCGATACCACACAGCTGATATGCCCAGGGCTAGAGATCATACAAAAAACACTTTTACTGGAATATACCAAACGATATGTAAAAATCATGTAAAAAGTGTGTATGAAATATAACAAAATAACATACATTAAACTTCTTTCAAAAAAATATGTAAGTAAACTTAGATAAATAATGTGTAAATAGAATATATGGTGGAATAATGTTTTGTAAGATATCAAATAATAAAAAAGAAACAATAATACTAAAATGTGTGTAAATGAGCGCCAATAACTTCCCACTAACCATTCATAATGTTTCATGATATCTAAGTGCTCCTAGGTAATGTTCTCAAAAATCTAATGCTTAAAAAATGGTAATTTTTAACGTTATGACATATTTGCATAATAGATACAAATCAAAATAAAAAACTCTGCTAAAAATATGTCAGTATCATTAATACTGGTTAAATTGTAGTTGTTACATTGTCAAAATAAACTTGGTAAACACTTATAAGAAAAATTCGAACTTTAATTCTGAACTCGCTTAAAAATGCGCTACAAATTTGTACAAATTTTATTACCCAGCCCTGAACCATTAACCAGATGGTAAATTTTAACATACCTCGCACGGTCACACTGTTCCAAGCAAACCAAAAGCCGGCAAAATTGTGCAAAAGTTGGCAAAACACCAAAACGTTTAAGGAAATGTAACTAATTATGCGTGGCGTTCGCAAGTGTGTTCACTGTGGTGCTGTGAATGGAAATCGCGCACAGTTTTGCCGGAATTCCTACTGTCCGCAGCGCAGGAATGTCCTTGACGCCGTCCAGTTGGTTTCCTTGAGACCCGGATCCACTGTTTACTCCTTGCGGGCCAAGGAAAAGGAGCAACAGCCGCGGAACTTCGTGGTCATACAGGATGTCACCCTGTCCTTGCAACCGGATGCTGCAGTGGTGTCCAGCAAGGCCGAGTGCTACGTGGAGTCCTGCCAGAAATCTGGAGGCGATTCCTTGGATTGCGTCCATGTTAAAGCTTGTAGAGAACTGGGCACCGAGTTTCCCAAGGCCCAGGTTTACCGAGTGTCCCGGGAAGTTCTGTGGAACCTTAATATAAACCAGGAGCAGAAGCAGCATCTCTGGCATCTTTATAAATATGCAGAAGAAAAGGAGTATCTTCCTGGAGTGCAGCGATTGAACCCAACCACATTTGCAGTGAAATGCGATAGGTCAGAATCCTTTCCAGCTGCTCGTCTACATGTCACCGTTTTGGCCAATGTTTTGTCTAAAAAGAAGGGCAGCTACGCCTGCGCCTGCAGGAAGCTAAAGATCATAGTGGAACCGGATAACTCTTTAGTGATGCAGGACGAGATCTGCGACCATCTGCTGCTTGTTTTGGCGGCAATCCTTAGTTCCCCGCAGGGAAAACGGGTTTACGGCAACTTCACCAGTGGCTTGCAGAACTTTTGGATGCCCTCGCAGCTGGAGACTCCATTGGGAGAAATAGAAACAGAGGATTTGCGGCTCAGTTTAAGCATGGTGGATGATTTCGACCCCCAGGTGGACATACTTGTTTTCGGGGATCAGCTCGATGTAAGTTTAACCTTTAAAATCCAAATTTTTCAGATTCTTCCTAACGTTCTTCTCTCTTTAATAATTATAGCTCCATTTACCGGATCTCTCCGATGGCGTTTTTAATCTGGACAACATGCAGGCAGCCACCTCTAGTCACAACACCTCAAATACCAACGATGCCTTCGTCCATTATGCCAACGATTCGCAGCTCTTGTCCAATTGTGATGTTTTCGCAGAGCCAATCGAGCTAACCGACTGCAATATCGAACTGATGGATCAGTTTCAGCCCACGGATCAGATAGATATTTGCAGCGAGGACATAGAACTTCCGCTGATCAGTGAGCATTATAATATTCTGGCTGCTCCACCCATTTTTACGGAGGCCACTCCTTCAGTAGATACCGATCAGCTGCCAATTGAACTGGCCACAATATCAGTGGTTAAAAAGGCACCTGTCAAGGTCTCTGAAATTGTAAGAGAAGTGAAAACCCGAAAGCAGCCTCCCTTACCAGCCAAAAGGGATTTGATAGTAAATAATTCAGATAAAGTTACTCCAGTTGTGAACACTCTTTGCTTGGATGCTTCAGTTCAGCCGGCGTTGTCCTACTCAGCATGGCTGGATCATGTGATAGAGCTTCTAAACGAAAGATTCGAGCCATTAGAAACTCCAAACGCGGGACTAACAAAACGTTTGGTCCAACAAAACTTCCATGTGCACAAGGTAAGTTGAGGTATACACACCACGCCTCTTCTTTAATCTCTTATTAAATACCCTACAGGACAGCTTTTCGCACTTCTGTAAGAGTTTCAGTGCGGGATATAAACGACGACCCTTAGATAAATCCACTGTGATAGAATCGGGCAAATATAAAGGGCTCAACCAGTACACCTGGCATTTTACTTCTTCTCACACAGTAAAACGCATCTTCAGTACCCCAAATATTGAACTGCACTTGGAACGTGCCTTCGAGAGACACGCGGAAGGTAATTTTGTGCCTTATGTGCGTCCAGCTACTGAGCCAAATGTTCCGGGTAAAAAGCGTATAGTTTACACCAGACTCAAGCTTTATATGGTTAAGATCATCTTCGAAATGTCTCCAAAGGTTAGTTAATACTAAAATTCCTATAATCAAGTGCCAAAAAAGAATTTGTAGTGTTAATAAAGGAGAGTCCCCACTGTATAATATAAGATAATACTTCTCCGCAGGATCAGTCCGGCAACGGACTTCTGTTGACCTGGACCCCGGATGTGCTACCCCGCAGCCAATTCGGGCTTATGAACGTGGAGTTCACTGTGGAGACACGATCGCCCATCTAGGGTAAGTTTGCAATTTGATGTTCTTTATTTTGACGCTTTCAATTTTGTCTGTTCCATTTATCTTTAGTCCATTTCAACTTTTCATTGGCTTATGAGTAGCTTAGGTGTACATACATATACATACATATCTTTATATATCATTAATTTTGTTTATCGCGAGACGTTCTCCGAATTTGATATCGGATCCTCTTGCTTCAATGGCCTCTACAAGCTGCGGGAAAGTCCCAACATTCTGGGTCTGCAAGGGGCAAATTCTTTTTTCTTTAAAATCTATGGTCTGCCTCTGGGGTATTTATCTTCATCTATTTGCTTAGCTCTAAAATCGTGGGCATGCTTACTTAAATTCTCGCTACATTCAGCTCTTTCTTACGAATTTTTCTTTAATATTTCTTTTTTTTGTATTTTCTGTGGTTTCTTTTTAAATTGTTTACGCTTAACTTTGACATTCATCACATTTATAAATTGCATAACACCGTCAATAAGATAATCTGTTGTATCTGTTGTTTTGTATCATTTTTTTTTACTATAGTTAATGTGTGAAGGTAGTTTAGTCGTGGAAAGGTTTCCATTTGCTCGAAAAGTGTGTGCAGTTTTTAATTGGGGGATTTCTGTAGAACTCTGTGTAATCATTGCTCTTTTGCAATGCTGTTGATTAAGCTTTTCTTTGGCTGTGACGCAAATCACACTCATACAACATTATGTACATAATGTATAGAAATATCCACCTATAGTTTTATCGTACATACTACTATTTATGTGTTTAACAGTTAAAATGCATAGTTTTTCTCAATATTGTATCGAAATAATATGATTCTTGTTGTTTATATTACAGATGAAGCATTTGTTACCATTGCCGGTGTCAGTATGAGAATTTACAAGCCCTTCTAGCGTATAAGTAATCTTAATCTATGTCCGGTTAGTGCCTAAGAAACATAATCTCACAAAAATTGGTCATTAGTTGGTTAATACGTAGAGCCGCCTATTTGGTATCAGCTGACAAATGATTGGATTGAAATGCTCTTGCTTTGATAAGATCAAGATTGAAGGGTGCTCCCAACCCAATCAAACCGATCTACCATCTATATCCTCAAGTAGTCTGACTACATTCGATTGGGTGGACACGGGATAAATCTAAGAGGAAACTGAAGGACCTTTGACATTCGTTCATTTACATAATCAGTATACATGCTTATTTAAGTTAAAGTGTACAAAAAACCAGTCTTTAAAACATGTTTGTTTATCGTTTATGTTTTTCCCATTTATATTTTACACATATAATGTAAAAATATTCACTAAATTATTTGCGCTCTACTTGCTGTGTGTGCGGGGCAGATATATTTGACTAAATCTGGACAATTCCAAACCATACATCTCCCTAGCTAACTCACACACAGGCATAGCTATGGCAATTCAGAGTGCTAACTTTAATTTTAAATCTTATCCACATCCGCGGCTAACTTTAAGAACTGTACAGATTAATATTACGCCGATATTAGGGGTCTATCAAATATGGTAACACCCTGTGAATGGATAAGAAAAAAACAAAACTTAAACTTGACTTTTCATTGGGATTTTCTTTTTATCTCACTTTTCACATGAATTGTATATTTTAATAATACTTTGCTTGCGATTACTTTTAGACTTATTTTAGTTTTTACAATATTCTTAGCTTGTTCAGAATGATGAGTCTTAGGTTCTTCCAGTTGTTTTCTGGCCTAAGCACGTTTTTACAGTATTTTTAGCTGTTTCAGAATAATGAGTCTGATTTTCTGGCCTAAGCTTTTATTTACAATTTTTCGTGATGCCCTTGTGCTTCGTGCTGAAATTGTGTGAATTTGTTATATTTATTTTGGGATTTACAGTGATGTGTGGAGGAAAGAGTGAGGGTGATGTGCTCCGTGTTAAGTGCTCGGTAACTCGAAATATTTGCCAATAATTCGTTTCTTTTCCTACTAAATTTGCAATTAATTTGTTGCTAAGTTTCGCTTGTGTTTCTTCATTATTTTTGGTGTATTAAACTGGAACAAATGTATAAGAAGACAAAAAACTATAACAGATTCTAGGACGGACACTGAATCGATTCGAAATGCAAAAGTGCTCAATCAACTACTAGGATAACTCGATAATTCAACTAATAATGATTACTTTAGTATGAGTTTGTAGGAGCTTAAAAAATCATGGCACAAGTGTGTGCAGAATTAACCTGCATTAACGTTATTGTAATCAGCATATATAAATGATTAGACAAATATGTTTTCTTGTTTAATTCTACTTGTTCAATTTGTGCATTTTGCTACGTTTCCACTTTTAGATTTGTGATTATTTTTGTTTTTTTACTGCTGTTTTTGACTTTTCTTTTCCTTTGTGACTAAATGTAGGTAAAGTATATTAAAAACTTAGTCATACGATATAAAAATGATAGAAAGACAAAATAATTTAGATAGTATTAAAGATAATAACTGAGGGAATACATTAAAGTAAAACATGGAGCTTACACGGCAAATGAATAATTTATGGACAAGGCGCTAAACGCTTTGTTCCCACCTAAAACGACTTAAACGTTAATAAATACATCGCTATGTATACGTAAATGTACGGTGTTTAAATTTAAATATTTATATTTAAACATTTATAAAATGATTTAATTTCTCTCTGTAAATTTATCTTTAGTTTAACCTACAATATCTAAGTTTTGAGCATCTGTCGCTGCTGCATTTGTGACGTTGTTATTATTATTATTGTTGATGATCGTTCGTGAAGTGGTTGGTGAATTATCCGTATTGTTCATCAGTAAATCACCAACATTGGTGTGATGTTGATGCGTGTTATATTGTTGTTGAAGTTGAGTTTGTTGTTGCATCAAGGCCAGCATTTGTTGTTGTTGATGTTCCATCAGATCAGCAGCGTTATTAGTAACAGTATGGAAATTGGCATTAGTAAGGGTTAAACTGTTCGGGGATGCGAGTGGTATTGTAGGAATTATAGGTAGGACTGTTGTTGGTGTCGTTGGAGTCGTTGGTGTTGCAGTTGCAGTTGCTGGTGTGGCCGGTGATGTTGCATTGGCGACTGTGGGTGAGATCTGGTGGGACAGGTCTAATGGCGATGGCAATTGGATGGTTTGTGGGGATGGTGTTGGAGAACTTGGTGGTGGTGGTGTGGATGAATTGGAGGACAGTGGAGCGACTGTGGGCGGTAACAATGACAGAATGGGCAAGAGGCTTGGATTAGTATCGGTTGTTGGTGTGCTGACTGTCTCATGGAGTGCTGTCTGTTGCTGCTGCTGCTGTTGTAGCTGCTGCTGCTGTGTCTCTATGTGTTGCTGCTGCAGCTGCAGCATGTGCAGCTGCTGCTGCTGCAGTATGACATGCTGTGGAACATTACCATTGCTGCATATTTTGCTATAGAGATCCGGCGTGGCCGTTGTCACATCCTCGAATTCAGTCCGAAGCGCCGTGCGCTTCAGCAGGTTCAAATTGCCAGGCAAAAATGAAAGTATATTATAGATGACGCGAATGTCCTCGCTGGAGGTCCACACCCCGGGTCGCTTGTTGTGGTACAGCTTCGCGTACTGGTACACATTAGCCGTGCTGCAGTACTCCATCTCGATGGCCAGCGACGAGATCGCGCAGAAGGTGCATGCCTGGGCGCCACCATACCTACAAATTGGAAATTTTATTAAAACATATTTTTTAGGGGTTTGAAAATATTTTCATTCTGGTTTTGCACTCATAGAAAACTTAATTTAATTTAATATTCTAAATCAGAATTAAAATGATCAGACCATTACTTATAACTATTTACATATGTGTGATTTTTTATAGAGTTATGAAATGAAGGCCCAATGCATTTCTGTCTCGAAATAGATTTTAGGATGAATTCTCTATAAAACCTCTAATATAACAACTCAATTGTAACGTACCTATCCACAATGACAATAGGACCATTGCGGTAGTCATTGCAGCGCTCGTGCACGTCCACGATAAAGTCGTAGATGCTGTTGGGATTGGACATCTCCGGCCAACTGGGACAGTGCAGCATTTTGACCGTCAGCTCGTAGTCGTCCTGTATCGACTGGATAACAAAGTCGCGACTGACATAGTCGCTCTTGTTGGTCTTGTTCAGATACTTGACGCGATAGTGATCGCTCTCGATGGGCGTGGCCTCATCCGGCCAAAACTGGGCAAAGTTCTGAAAGGAAATTATAAATTAGTAAACTTCTCAGAAGAAATATATATTCCTATTTTTCTTATAAGTTTCCAAAAGTTTTATTTTGTTCTACCAGAAATATCCATAGAACTTTAAGACACCTGAAAAATTTTTTTTAAAACTTTAGAGATTTCTATACTTACTATATCATCCAGTGATGAAAGCAGCACGACGGTCTGTGCATTGTGGTCCCAGACCATCTGCCAGAAGTCCTTTATCGTGTGCGCCATGGGATGTTGGGTGACTATGAAGTCCCTCAATCTCCGGAAGCCGTGAAGCCAGGAGGCGTTGATATAATCGCTACCATCCTCGCCCGGCTTGGGTGTCAAATGCACCCGACTGCCCTCGATGGGGAAGATGGCTCCGCGGTTCTTGATCGAGTTCACCTGCTTCATGGCGGATGCAATGTGAATATCCTTTGGCTGGAACTGGATGATGTTCTTGTACTGCTGCTCCAAGTAGGGAGTGCAGTTCTTCAGCTCCTCCACCTGCTCGGCCATCAGATTTGTCTCGCCAGAGGCGATGGCCTCCACCAGAGCATCGTGCAGGAATATGTACTGCTCCTCGGTCTGGACAAGGAAGTTCCTCTGGGCTCGAATGTGACGCAGGAAGCCGAAGACGTTCGCAATTGATTTCTGCTGGATTTGCTTCAGCATGGCGTCCAGGACGATGTAGGTGCCAGTGCGACCAACGCCAGCGCTAAAAAAGGGAACGAATGTTTAGATATAGTGGAAGTAAGATAGCCTATTGATGACTATTGGAAGTATTAACCCACCTGCAGTGCACAACAATAGGACCAGCCTCTGCGGGATTGGCGGCTGATGATTTCTTGACAAAGTTCAGAACAGGAAGGGGATGATCGGGGGTTCCATGATCGGGCCAGTTGGTATAGTGATATTGGTAGACCAGTTTCTCAGTATTGCACTGCTTCTTCTTCTTAAGCTTTGAATAAAACATAACATTAATCAGGAAATTACTAAATAAACTAAGTAAAGCTCACCTTCAAGTGCTTGATCTGCAAAGTGCGAACAGTGTACGTGGACATGACTTCCTCCTCGATAAGTTTAACCTGGATCACTCCGTAGGTCTCAACGCCATCCTTCGGCCAGTACATGTCGCACTTGCGTCTTCCACGCTCCACAAGATTGGTGATCATCACAATGATGGCCACTCTCTGCTCCCAAATCATCCGCCAGAAACAGTCAAAGGTGTCGGGCAAAGGTCCCTGGGTTCCGATGAAGGCATGTCCCTTCTGGTAGCCATCGATGAAGTTGGCGTTGATGTAGTCGAGGTTCTTCTTTTGGCCCGGTGTAGGATGCAAATGCACCCGACTGTGATCATCTGCGTTTTTAGAAACAATTAAGCAGTTAGTAAGGGATAATTAAATGTAAAAAAGGTTTAACTGCAGTACAAAAGTTCGTTGTCATAAAAATACTATTAACTTGATTAAGTAAAACTATTAACTTGACTTTGACTTACAGGCTGTGATGTTGAGATAGCGATTCTTGCGTTTGTTCTCGGGATGCTGGGAGTGCTCACATGGCAGATCATCGCTGATGCACTCGTTCTGGATGGCCTCGTACTCCCGACTGAATCCTATATCTCCATCGGCATGCAGGGATGCCACGTGCTTGGCAAATTCATTTACGGGTACAGCTGCGCGGATCTCATCGCCGATCTTCACGGGCACTTCCCAATCCACCTGCGGGGCATTCGGGTGGTGCGGTGGATCATCCAGATAGTAGTAGGCAGCATGGAAGCACTTTCTGCTGAAAAGAGTTAATGGAAATACCAAGTGTTAAACAGGATTGTTAAATGAAAAATAATTAATTTTCCTAAATATTTGTATAGCAGTAAAAGCAACAGCTTAATTAATATAAAAACAGACAACTGTGATGTCTTTGGATTTTCATTAAAACTAAAACGTCTAATTCTGCATAAATTTTAAAATTGTTATGCAGTTATATCATAATGTTTCCTCAATGGGTGAATAGGTCCCCTCACCATTCAAATTAATTCCCTTTATTAAAATAACAAGTGGCGCTTTAGAATGTAAAAGGACCTACGCTTTAAGAGGTTCCTTGCTCCTTTAAACACAATCCTATTAAGTGTAGCAGCAACTAGAGCAGAAGTTTTACTGACCAGTCACAAAAGTATCCTTTCTCAATTTCCTTACAAATGCCGGGCTACTTTGAAAAAGTGTAAATTCTATTTAACAGACAGAGAATCATTTTCTTTACAAAAGTTGTGAACTGTGGAAATTATGAAGCAGCTGCAATCAGTTAGAGCAAAATCAGCGAAAGGTGTCAGATGGGCGTGGCCGACAAGCTCTTGGCAAAATCAAAATGCATAAATAAGCAGGTGGCAGAAAAGGAGATGGAAAACCAGCTAGATAGACTCCAGGAAGTGGGTAGTGGTCAGTGCTAATGGCATTCAGTTGCAGCCAGGCATTAGGAAGTAATTCTGTGACAGGATACTTTCGACTGTGCAAAAATATTTGCGCAAAGCTGCTTTAAATGAGTGACAATAATGACAAAAGGTGGGCCTTAATGCTGTTCAATTTCTGTACACAAATGGAGGTTAAGTTTTGTAATTGGCTTAAGCGATTACAAGGAGCGCAGAACTTTCTTGCACCAAGTTTTGCTCACAAGTGCACTCGACCAACCAGTGAAACTTGGCAACTTCCCAGCTAAGTTTTCCACTCGCAGTAGCTGCTTTTATTGCCGGATTTCGCAGCCTTGGGAGAAAGTGCAGGACATAATGGAAATTGAGTGGTCCAGACTGTACTGCCAACTTTTCATTCTGTCTTGTATTGTGGCTCGTTGCACTTTGGCAAGAAATATTGCGGAAATAATCTTGATCTGCATTGAACCAACATCGATTTCCTAATGTTTACTGCAGAAGTCATTGAATTTAATAAATTTTTAAAGGGAATGGTTTTTAAATGGGAATTAACCTTAACAGAATTGCATTGATTTGTAATGCAAAGTTTGTATAATATTTACTGCTACGTTTTATATCTAATAAAACGTGAATAACATATTCCGAACTTTATTTTTTTTAATGGTATCTGTTTTACAATATATAAAATTATTTCATATATTTTTTTAACTTCTGCCATGCTTAAATCAACACGATATAGAAAGCTAACAAATAATAAGTGACCTTCCCTTATTAGTCAATACTCCCAATTTTTCCAGCTTATTCTCTATGACTTCTTCCAAGTACTGATAAAAAGTTTATTTCTCAATGTTTGCTCTTTAGATATTAAAAGCGATACTGATCTGTCGTTGTTAGCATTTCCGCGGAATTATTCACAGGTTTCTTGTTTATTCAACGAAGTTTCGCAGCATAAACAAAAGTAGCCGGGGCATCAAGAACTTTGATAATTGTTTCAATAATTCTTATCAGCGGAAGACCGAAATTCGGCTTGTTTATTTTTTCGTCGATAAAAAAGTAAATAAATAGCTAAATTGGGGACAAAACCAACCAGAAAATAAGAAATTCCTTCCTTCTATGTATGTACATATATTTACATATGTTTTTCTTGATTCCCAAGCTTCCCTCCACTTTTGTTATTGTTTATCAAAGACTTTTGTTTTTCTTGCGACTCTATTACGCACCAACAAAAGTATTTATTTATTTTTGTCGACTTCCGCTGTCCATTAAATATGCAACCTGACTGTAGATATTAGTTTCTTTATGATTTTTGTTTGGCAAACACGTGACAGTTGCGCCAAGTGATCGTTTTCCCGGGGGTGCAGCTGCGAAAAACTTACGTAAACCAATTTCCACGTTGCGATTTACGGCGCAACAACCTTGGTGTTGCTGCTGTCGCTTGTTTTGCTGTTGCTGTTGCACTTGCAATTTCTGATGTTGCTGGTAGCATGGGGCTGCTGCAGCGTTTTTCCCTGCAACCTGACATAATGCGTCGCCTTCGCTAGAATTGCATTGCCTTTTTTTTGCTTTGTATATTCGCGAATTTTTGCTTACATATTTACACAAATTACGTCATATTGGCAATGCAATGTCGCCAGTTCACTTGCAAAAATAGTACGCAATAACTACGGAAAACACACACCACACTGTCGAATAAATAATTTAATGAGGCTGTGGTTGTGACGTTTTAAAAAAATAAGAAATAACAATAAAAAATACAAGCAGGTGGCTCTGGCCAGTTATCGCTTATTTTTTTCAGCGTTGTTTATTGATAAGGTTTATTTTTATTGGATTTTTTATGTAGGTCTCTCGGCGGCACAGAAAAATCTCTAGTTTTCGTGCTGATGAACGCGCGTGCTCTGGAGAACTGAACTCTTGTCAATTAGCAATCGACGCGCAGCCAGAGCTTTTCCTCAGTTCCCCGATCTTTTGGCCGATCGAGAGATATAGAAAGAGCGAGCTTTTTGGGCTTTGCATCAGCTGTTTGATAACAACTGCACGTTTTTTTTTTAGCTGCCGCTAAAAGCCTGTTTGCCATGCCCTCTTTCCTACAGTAAATATTGGTTGTGATTAAACCTTTCTAAAAACCTATGGGTTTTATTATACACACTTCTCAAGAAAAACAAATAAAGTGTTTCAAAGGCCATAAATAAAAAAAGTAGTCCTATAAACATCTTTAAAAAATGTTCTTCATATTTAAATTATAAAATTAAAAGTTCAAGATATATAAAATTGTTAAAAACTTGGATAAATTTTGTGACCCATTTCAACAGAATTTAGTAATTGCTTTTAAGCAGTTTGAACTGTGACAATTCCAGTTAAAATGCTATATAATCATGCTGTATATCTTATCTACATTTGACATTGATTTACCCTTCTCTGTTGCATATATTATTTACAATTTTAATGCTTTTTTCTCCCGTGTTTGCTTAATTAAGTCTACTGTTGTTTACTATTGTTGCTGCCCAGCTAGCTCATCAATTAATCAATTAAAAAACGCAATGTTCAGTACTTGCTGCCATATAGGGAATCGATATTTGTTAATCGTTCAATTGCGCCAGACAACTTCCGCAACAAAAGTTACATTGAAAGAAATTTACCCTTGGAAAGTTGATAACGTTGGTATTTAGTTCATCAATACAGTTGATAAAGTCGGAGAAAGGGCAGGAATATGGGGAAAAGCTGGACCAAACTGCACACTCCCTTAACCCCTCACACATTTTGTCTATTTCCATCGTTGTTATGAAATGGAACTTTTTGGCAAAAGTTACCAATACGTTACCCAAAAACAATTTCTTGTCTGACTCTGCTATTCTATTTTTGGCATAGGGAAAAGTTCTATACAAAAAGAAAAAACCAGACACGCGCACACATTTGCTGGCAAAATAAAGCCGTCGACACAAAAACAATTTTCACAACTGCATCAGATATGAAAAAGTAACACACAAGTCGACATACGTTGAGACCCAGATAGAGGGAAAAGTGTTCTCCATTTTCTTATTTCGGTGTCGGAATGCAAATGGAAAATAATATTGAACTCAGTTCATAAGAAACTGAAACTGAGATACTCTTCATTAAAAATTCTAAGCTGGTAATGAAAATATTCGCTTGCTGTTTACGATAAGTTCTATGTAGTTTGAAATATGAAGTTAAAATTGTTTTAATTGCATTTATTGAACAAACGAAAATTATGTTTTAACTTTATTTTTCATTTTGTAATTAAATATTTAAAAATTAAATATGAAAAATACAAATGAAAAATATAGGGTAACTAACCAAAATATTTTATTCACCAAACCTCATTTATTTTATGAAGTGAATAGTATTTCTCTAAACTATTTTTCCTACTCTAAAAAATGTTGGTCAGGCAAGTTAGAAAGATGGTTATCGCTGTTGGCAGCAAATTGTTGCCATAAGAAATTGTAAAAGTATTTCTACTTGGCGCACAAGTTGCCAGTTCTCTAGTGTGTGGTTAGGACTTAGTTAACCTGCCACAAGCCGCAGCAGTTATTAAAATAATTTCCACACCCCTTGACTTTTTGCCATTCAAGCCTCCAGTGGCGGCCACTAAACGTTGATTAGTGCTCTGCAAATGTAAAAGTAAATGTAAATGATTTCGCCAAGAGCCGCGAATTGAGTTCTGCGAAAGAATTTTTCTCGCCCTCACATAAAACGCAAACCCTTTTTTCTTGTTTCCCTTCTGGTTTTTTTTCCGCCTGACTTTTGTTCTGACTTTTCCAACCCACCCCTTCCTCACTCTATATTTGTTTGCATTGAAAAGGAAATTGTAGAAATTCGCCTTTGTTTGCTTAATAAAATATAATTTTTTCCGCTCTAAAACTTGGGTAACTTGAAAAATGGGATGGCAACACTCCAACCTTCTTCTTTTCCATCTCCTCACGCTGTTATGCGTTCTGCTTTGCTCGCAGGGTATTTGTAAAAAATAAATAAAATGGCATTAATTTGTTAGGGAACCCGAGAAGGGGTAAAAAGTGGTTTGGGTAACTTTCATTTGGCATATTCGCGGCAGCATAAAAAATCGCTTCGACAGAAAATATGCAAAATTCTTTCCCTTGAAGTTGGGTATAAAAACGCTTTTCATTTTCCCCAACACATTTTGTCGTCTCAAATGTTTGCCGTTGCCTCCGGCAAATGCGAATCCGGATACGGAGTAAGATTCCCGTGGTCTGGGCAATGGGTTAACCACTTTTACATTTAATAAAGATTTTAAGTAACTTAAAATTGTTTTGCTTGTCTTTGTCTTTGGCTTCGCTTGGACTCTTGTTTTTTTTCAATTTGAATTTTAATTAACATTTCCAGGGAATATGAGGATAGCCCACCTCCCCTTTCAAGTTTGTGGTAGCTGGTTTCCGCTGTTTTCAGAAAGAAAAGCAGATTGAAATGGTCGAGTTATTTTCTTAATTATATATTGGTTAGAGGGACATTCCGAAAGGATTAAACATTTTTTCTGTACTTCTATTTGTATAATTAATATTGGCGTGGAGATGCAGATAGCATAAAGTCCACTAATTGGTTAAGTATTTCCTTCTTTTAAAATTAAAAGTGCAATACAGAATTGGCTTTTATACAAAGGGATAAATGTGGAAGTTAAAATTAATGATGACAAGCTATTTAAATTCTTCTAGATTAATTCCAAGATTCTACATGTTTTTACTACTATAAATTGTAATTTAAAAATAGGCAATTTCTATAGCTGCAACGGGCCGACTTAAAATGCTTTCTTGAGTTTATTTTTAAATTCTATCGACGGGAGTGGGAAGACAGCGCTTTGCACTCAACACTTTTCACAGTTTTATTTATGGAACTGCACGCGACTGTCTACGGAAAAGCAGCTGCTTCTACGTCTACATCAGCACTTGCTTCTTGCTATATTTTTATTTTCGAATTTAGTGCTTAAATATGGCATGGAGCGCCACTTACCTCCACAGGAAGAAGGCCATGATGATCAGGATGATGCCCGAAACAGCTGAAGATAATGCCAACCAAAACGGCGAGGTTGTAGTCATTATGCGATTGACGCAGCAGCGGTTGGAGTTTCTCGCAATTCGGTTGTAGTTGAATCTGTTTTGTGAAAAATAACATTTTGTTAAAACAGTTTAAATATTGTATGGATAATAATTAATATTCTATAGCAAAATTCTCAAAAATTCTTGAGCCATTCACACAAAGTCAGTTTATTTAAATAATTGTTTGTTAATGGTTTGTTAATTTAGTAGGTGGTTATGAGGACCTTGTGTATGAAATGTTGTTGTCCCCTACTCCTTAGATCTTCAATTCCTTGTTGACCTCCGTTTCTAGGTTATCATGATTCCGATTTCTATTGGTCATACCTAAGCCAGTTTTTAAGATACCGACTTCTTTCTACTTTTAAACAGATCGGCTGTTAAGGGTGTATTCTTAAATTGACAAAAAAATTGTAATGTGTTTAAAAATAAACAAAAATAGTTTTAACCAAAACGCCCATTAAAAATATAGTGAAATTTACTTGCTTTTTTATATTATTTTTTTTTTTTTTTTTTTTATATTTTATAATTTTTTTTTTTTAATTTTTAAAAAATTAATTTTAAAAAAAATTTTTTTTTTTTTTTTTTTTTTTTTTTTTTTTTTTTTTTAAAAAAATCTTTAATTTTTTTTTTTTTTTTTTTTTTTTTTTTTTTTATTTTTTTTTCTTTTTATTATTTTTTTTTTCCCCTCCTTTTTTTTAATTTTTTTTTTTTTTTTTAATTTAAAAAAGGAAAAAAAAAAAGGGATGTTTTTCACCCACCAAAAATATAATTTTTTTATATATCACTGCGTTGCACACTTTTGACCAAAATTATAATACCCTCTGCAAGGGTATAAAAATATAGTGAAATTTCTTGCTATAATTTTTTCCTCTGTACGTGTTTGAAATGCACGTTTCAAATGTGTGTAACTCTGTTATCATTATATTCGAGCTTTATTTTTGTTGATTTTTCCTCCCTTTGTTTGTTTTTTGCGCACTCTTTATTTGCGCTTGTTTATTTCCGCTTTTTGCATACGATTTCTGCTGCCACCCGAAAAAAGAAAGGATTTAAATGAGCGCCATTTTCCGGGAGTTGGGGACGATTGTGAGCGCAGAGCGGAAAATGGCAGCGGGCCATGTAAATGCGGCCAAAAGGTGCAGGCCACTTGAAATTCAGGCATTCCAACAACAACAATGCCAATGAATTATGAATGAGCGAGCGAGAGAGAAAGGGCGAACAAGAGCCACAAAAAATATTGCTGCATACTTATGAGGGCGTGTCGCTGCGGTCTCCCCCCTCCTTTGACCCCATCCTCCCCCTCCACCCACGAAACTTGAGGTCAACTAAATTGCTATATTTCTGCCACAACTTTGGATTATATTTTATGCATGCAACAAAGTTTACGGTGTGTGTGTGTGTGCGTTTGTGTGGAATGTCATTAAGGATGTTGTTATGACAGGTTGAAGGAGTTGCTGTGCGGGTCCTAAATGTCAATAAACTTAGGTGCACAATAACAAAACCCTAGCTTTCTTATGTTTTGAACCGATACATTCTTAAATATGCTGAAAAGTACTAAATTTATTATGAGCCAATATAAATGTCCATTTTTTTTTTAAGAAAGGAATAAATTTTGGTGTGTAATTCAAAACCCAAAAACCTTATTTTGGTTAAAAATCACAGAAAAAAGTGTTTTATATTTCAAACTATTGTACTCAAGTAAAATCGAATTTACCAAGGCCTTTCTAAAAAAGCATAAAAAAAACCCTAATTATTATCACTAAATTTGTTATGACCAGAAAATTTAAGTGGAAACTCTACGAACACAAAACACAGTACTTATAATTTTCCCTGTCTAAGGACACAATTGAGTGGGCAGAACCATTCATTGTTGATTGGGGCCCGTTAAATGCGCATAAGCCTCTCATTACGCATACGCCCCGGGGTCCACTGGCTAAGGACTCAATAATGCATAGATACAAAAGCTAAAAGCGCATAAAAAAGTAAAGACATTTCGCTAGTACTCAGAATACTTTCGCCAAGACAGGATAGAATTTTCCCCACAAAATATTTTTTTTGTGGGTCCCCCGCAAAAAAGAAGAGCCTGCTACCTTTTTGGACATGTAATCTGATATGGAAACTGACAACGCCGAGGCTGCCAACTTTATGGCGTGCCACGCCCCTGCCTTATATAACCGCCCGACATTTTGGCCCGCCCCGAAACAAAATGCCAAGTTGTTCCGCCATGTGGCAGGTGTTGGTCTGTATGTGGGTTGCATTTGATATCTTTATGCGCTACTTACAATCCTTGACTCCGAAAATTTGCCCAGCACAATTCTCTTTGGATTTATGACACTGAACGTTGCCGCTGCCACTTTGACCTCATAGTACGAGTTGGTTGTCAGATTTTGTAAAATCATCTGCAAGGTAATACAATAATATAATAAGCATTAGTTTATTGAATACATACCAGAACTAAAAATAATATAATATTTCTAAAACAAAATAGTGGAAACTTTAAATAAGTTCAAACTAAATATACACCTTTTTTATTTTAACAAGCTTAAAATTTTATAATTTCTAAGCAATAATTAACCTAAAACAATTTCAATAATACATATACTCAAACAAAGTTCTTTGGCTTTAAATATAACAAGGCATTAAATGTACCAAAGTAATCTTTTTCATTTTCCATTGTTTAGCTTTAGTTTATCACAGCCAAATTTTGGTTTCGAGATCCGAGAAATATTCTAATTTAGTTTCCATTTAACTTTATTAAAATTCTGTCGCATTCATATGAAAAAAACAAAAAAATTTGGCATTCCCAAACTAACAATGAAAAAACAAAAGTAAAATTATGGCCATTTCTGTTGTTTAGTTGTTCAACAAAAAGCTTGTTTGCTGCTGCAAAATATTTCAATTACAAAAATATTTTCAACTGGCCAAAACAAGAGCAAGGCGACAGAGTACCCCGAAAAAGATAGGGGGCTTCGGGGGAAGAGACAACTAATAAAAAAAAATAAACAGGACGAAACAAGAACCCAACTAGTTTTAGATATGGAAAAAGTCAGCTATGTGTATGATAACATTTTATTGTTGTGAAATTTGTTTGCCTCGCCACATTCCCCACGACAAACTTTGTTTTTATTTATTTACTTTTGGTAATTTTTTTTGCGACTATTTCGGTCGCTAAATAAAAAGGAAAGACGCGGCACAAAGGCGGACAGGAAAAACAACATAAATTTAATTTATTTTCGCAGGTGTGGGCGGGTTTTCATGTGTGTGGTGTGGTTGCGATGCAGCGGAAAAGAATGCTGCCCATGTGTGCGAATTTTTTGGTATAGAAATTTCTATGAAATATTTACGGGCGCCAGGGCAGGTGGGCTTTTCTGTATTCCGTTTGTTGTTTGCTGCATAAAAATGCAATTATTACTGCCGGCTTTTTATTTGTCTGCTCTTAACTTTTTGTTGCCTTATTGCATATCTGTCTGTATTAGGCAGTTTATCATAGAACTTTTCGTTTTTTATGGGGCCAGTCCGAGCCAAATGGCCGCGATAAGCCGAATTGATTGACATATCACAAGACGACAATGTTGCCAACATGGCAGGCCAATAAAATGCTTGCTAACAGCGCGGAAAATTGTTTTGTTTTTTTTTTTAACCTGCGTATGAAATATTACTGCCAGACTCCACAGGGATCAATCCATTTAGTATTTGTTTTGCGATCTTATACACAAATTTCAAATTTTCTCCTAACTGAGGCCTTTCATAACGCAAAGCTATTTTATTATTTAAGCTAAGCTAAATATTTAAAATACTTCTTGAGTCTTGGGAAAATAAAAACTTACCGCAGTTTCCAGCTCCTTGGCTGATGCATTGATCCTTATATCCCGATGTGTATCCTGTCCAGCTAACCTCGTCTTGATTATGTAAAAATCAATGGTGTTATAGAACTCGTAGGGTCTTCGCCAGCGAATAGTGATCGATTCTTGGGAGTGGCAGGTGAGGTTTACAATCGCCGGAGCGCTGGGACCTCCAACATCAGTTCTCTGGGCGATTTGATCGGATGGTTCGCCCTCATTTTTGGTGGTAAATGCCTTTACTATCACACGGTAATCGGTGTAGGGTCCTATAAAAAAATGTATAATATTTCGTAGATAATATATTAATAAAGGGTAGGAAAAAACGAATGAAGTACACCAATTCTTTATTTAGTCTTAATTGATTAAATAAGGTAAATATATCAAATTTTGATAGCAGAAAGTAATTTGAGTAAATTTCATCAGTTATATACGAAACTTCCGTATTAAGTGCGGTTGCTCATTCATATTGATTATTTTATGTGAGCCTTTAATAAGCTTAATTGTCCTTTGAGTACGTTTTGATCCGACAGTTGGGGCTTTTATTGGTCGTAAAGACCCAACACGAGTGTCAGTTGCATTTACGTGTATATTCGAAAATATATAGAGCACCTGCCAAGCTTTTAGCCACTTTATATTTGGGATCGGGCATCCTTTTCTTGCTCTTTATGACCAGCGTCACCGCATGTCACTGGATGCAGAGAACAGAAAACAGCCCCGCGGTTTCTGTCCGGCTTTATAATTAAATTTTACTCAGCGAAAATGCATGGGACAGCGGCAACAATAACAAGGGATTGATTTTTCATGCAGAGGGGAGGGAAAAAACCAGTACCTTGAGTGGAGCTGTCAGCTTAAATTGGATTTAATTAACAAGAGAAACTGCTGACATCTACTTGGATAAAATTTGCAAATAATTAAACGTTGTCATGGCGGCACGGGGAAAAGCCAGCATGGCGCAAAAAGCAGCTCCTTTTGAAATTTTCGCGCAGAAGTTAGGCGGAGATGCAGATGCATTCTGCTGGCGGAACTGTGCACCTGAGTAGTGTAATTTAATTAAACAATGTGGGTGCATGAGAATGTGGAATGCCGTGCATAACTTTGTAGCAAGTTAATTGCATGGCTCGAGGGCGCCTTAGAACCTACAAAAAACACTTTGAGCTCTCAAAGGGATTCCTCTAAGTAGCTTCTGATGCGGTGTATCTTATGCGAATGGTGTTTTCTAGCCTAAAAGACACCATCCTCCTTAATCAGGTAAATTAGCCGACTTTGGGGTGTACAATTATAAGCGTCAAAAGTTGTTGGCAAACAGAAAGTGGCAAGCGAGTGGCACTGAGCACTTGAAACTATTTAATTACAAAGCAGCTGGCAAACAATTTGACTAGCGCTCATTTAAAGGTAATAATAGGCCTCGGGCAGGTTCAAGGGGCTTAACATTGGCGGAAGAAGCGGAAAAGTGTGGTGGCTTTTTACAAAGTGGGCGTTCGACTGTTGACAGTTTGAAGTTGAGCTCTAAAGTTGACAGGGCTCGAATCGACGGTTAAAACTTGGAAATCCTTTGATTGGTCTGCGCTTTCAAAGTTGTACAAATTTATTGACCGAAAGTGTGAATACATTAAAAGTTATAGAGTTAGACCATTTGTATTCGCTTTATATATATATTATTTTAAGGATACAAATTTATTTAATAAAAATATCTATACATCTAGTTTGTGCACTAAAAGTAATCCATTTAAGAAACTTTATATTGGTATTAACCATGGTCAATTGGCCAATAATGGAAATATTGTATTAAAAGAACAAAAAAGGGGAAAAAACATCTTTTTCAATTTACACTTTTTAGGCTCTCGAGACATACAGTATAATATTTATTATAGAACTTACGTAGATTCTGCAACTCAAAATGGATGAGTGTTTCTACCGAATTCCGAGAGTTCTTCACGATTTCCACGCCAGTTTGGTTGTCGTGGATGTGGAACACATGGTAACCGGCGATGGCTCCGTTCTGATTCTTTGGCGGATGCCAGGACATCGTAATGCTATTGGCCAAAACATCCAGGATGGTGAGATTCTGGGGTTTGCTTGGAACTGCAAAGAAAAGTAAATAAAACACGGGGATGAGTACAAAAGTCAAAAGATAAATTTGCTCATGTTCTTAGGCCATGTTGTATACTCTTCAGCTTAGAACCACGAAGTTGAACAAACAAGATGGTTGAAATTCATTTAATAGACGGTATAGAATGTATGATACCCACTTTGATGATTTTATTTTTTTGACCTTCTTAATAAGATGTTTAAGGATGTGGTAATCACCCATGCAATCAAATAAATATATATTTAGAATGGTTTAAATATTAAGTATCCCCCTTACAAATTAAATGTATTTCATATTCACAAGTGCCCTTGTGGAAATGTTTACCATATACCCTTGATTTGTGTAATTTACGGATACAAAAGTTGATTTCCAACTCTGGGTTATCAAAGTCGTCGCAGCTGTTTAATGTATACAAATTTTCCCAACCCCACCACAACTTTCTCAAAGTAATCCCGAATTTGTAAATAAAAAATGTTTGCATACTTAGCGGCGTGTGCACATAGAAAATGGCAAGTCGGATGACGCCAAATGACAATGCATAAATAATTTATTTAATAAAAAAAAGAACAGAGGAAAATAAAACCGTAAAAGGGGCAGAGGAAGACGAAGCAATCGCAACGAATGAAGAAAAGTAAAATAAATTGAAATGAATATTTTGCAGAAGCAGATAAAACAATTTATATTCAAATGGCAGGCGAATCATGTGTGTGTATGTGTTCGAGAGGGAACAAAAAATTATATATTCAATTACGAGGGGGGAAAACGAAGAAAAGAATTGGCGCAAGTAAAGCGCAACGTAATCGAAGCGCATAAAGAAACGGAAATGCGATTGCTAGCAATTTATTATGGCCTGCACTTGCCAGTAGGAAAACACATACACAGATGGGGCGCACACACAGATACACACCCATATAGCTGCAGATGGTGGCTTATAATCCAGCAAACCAGCGGATGCAAAAGCCCTGGCAATAATTTCATTTGCAAGCCAAAGGACAACACTCGACCATGTGTGACAGCCAAAGGGTTCTTGTGTGTGTGTGCGTGTGTGTATTCTGAGGTCTATATGTGCTTGCCTTTGTGTGTGTGCAAGTGGCAAAAAGCACTAAATGGTAATTTATTTTACTAATACAACAAAAGCTCGACCATCGAGCAAAAACGCTCTGCAATCAAAAGAACAAATGAGTGACCCGAGGGCGGGAACGGGCACTTGACCCTACTCCGCCCGAGACTTTTGCCATGCAAATGCGATAAAGCTTAACAAAACACACACTCAGTCCCTTTGCACATTGAGAGAAAAATGCGGGTCTAAAATTGAGGAATAAATAGGTTACTAGGACTTTATATATTTATTTGAGCCGGTGTTTTTTAAAAAATAATTATTTTAGTTTCCATTTCTATGGAGGTGATAAACAAATCTTTTCAGATTTGAAATCTCTTAAAATTTTTTGATTTTATTTTAAAATTAAATAGACGAAATAATCGTATTATTATAATTCCTTAAAAACTTTGTTTTGAACCATTATTTGTATTACCCAAGCAAATTTTTATTTTAAGGTCTTTATACAACTAAAGATAGAGTTTCTTGGACTTGTTCTATGTGTAAACAAGTAAGAAAAAGAGAATCCCACACATGAACAGTTGGCTGTGCAGAATAAACAGTCGCTGTCAGTGTATAGAAATTTATACAATTCAATAAATGGCATTTCTAGTTTCTTTGCCTTTGCCTCTGCCCATTTACTTATTTCACTCCCATTTCTCTGCCCGTTCTACTCCAATTTCTTCTTGTACTTCATCCTTGGCCCGTGCCCTCTGCAATTGCAAACGGAAATGGAAATGGGAAATGGACAGGCAGCTGCTGCATCTGCAAAAAGGGAAAGGAAAAAGCCAATTTATAGACTCGAACTCGAACTATGAAAGCGAACGACTCACTTGAGGACCTGATGGTGAAAAAGGAGCGGGGTACTTGTATTAAAATCAATTAAGCAACAAAGTGCTTCACATACACACAAACACGCGGGCAAAAGCGATAAATGTCCTCGCAGGGAAAGGAAAATGGAGAAAGGGGAAAAGGGAAAAGAAAAAGTTAATAGGTTTGCCACTCGCAGAAGACAGCTCGAAGCTCACCTCGACAGGTTACTGTGTGGGCACTAAGTGCTCCTGATTGGTTTTTGTTTGCCAAATATAACATAAATAATTGGGAAAGCAGCCAGCAGTAACCGTTTTGATAACGCGAATCAATCAACCACTGAATGATTGAAAAACATTATGGGCGGGAAGTTTGAGTTCGTAAAGTAATTAATGAAGAAAAGAAAATCTATTCACGGAAACAACATTTTTATAAAAGGGTAAAGCTCACAAAAAAAAAAATAATTTGTAAAAAGTAACAGGAATTAATTAATAAAGAAATGTATTCCATAGGTGGTCACAATTATTAAATATAAATATTTTTAAAATGGCAAATACTCAAAATAAACGTAAAAATTTATAAAAATACAAAAAAAAAAAATTGTTGGAAATAAATTATTTAAATAAAGGCTAGTCCGTTTAAAAAAACATTCATAAGAAATAATTTTCAAAATAATTAAGATTTTCTTAAAAATAAAGATCTATTCGAATAATAAACCCATCTGCAGAAGAAATCAGATTTCTCAAGGAAAAAACCGCCTCCACGTTCGACATGTCTGGGCAAATTAAAAGAAAACAATAGCTGCGCTTTCCTCACTATTTGCTCAGCCATCGCGCCGGAAGTAACCAAGTGTGAAAAAGCAAAGGAAAATCCGTAAAGCCTGGGAAAACTAGGGGGTGCACACTCAAAGCGCGCGTGATTATTTTCACAAAGGCAAAGGCAGGAAGTAGAAAAAATATAACTAGGAAAATGGAGTAGTCGGAGGAAAATCGGGGAAAAAGAGTGTGGCGGCTGGAAAAACCAATACCGACGACGTGCTTAAGTTGTTAAAAACTCCAAACAAAAGCAGGCATCAGCTCGAGGACACTTAGGGGGGTTTCGGGGGTGGTGTTCAAGGTGTGTTTCTGTTTGTGTGTGTGTGTGTGAGGAGCAAATAGCATTAAGTTGTCTGAGCCTCGAAAAAAAATGTATATATAACAACAACAAACGACTTGAAGAGCAAGGAGCAAAAAAACTAAGCCCGAACATGAAGATATATAAAAACAAGTTAAGAGTGGGCTGCCATTGTTGTTGGCCATATGCCTTATTTAGTTGTTGCTCTTCGTGCTTTATTGTTGTTGCTTAACTTTACGAGCTGCTTTACGGATTTGGCCAGACGTAAAAACTAAACAAAAGCCGACGGACGGAGAGTAAATAAGAAAGAGCGAGCGAGCAAACAAACAAACAATTAGAGAATACACACACGCCAAAAAAGGAGGTAGAAATCCCAGGTGACTGCCTTTCAAAAGGCGTCAAAGGCTCTACCGCCCCGAGAATTCGCACAAAGGCGCAAAAATTATGCGAAATAAAGGCCAAAAATAAAAAAAAAGCAGAAAAAACAGCAGCGACAACAAGCTGCGAAAAAAATAAAAGCTGAAAAGTTTTGTCCCCCAAAGCTTTGATGGCCAAGAGCAAACAGTGAATGGTCCAAAAGGCTCCGGCACTTAGCGGAAGTAATGTGGCGGCCATTTTGAATGCACATACGTAAGAGTGTGTGTTTGCGGGGGTTTGTGTGTGAACGACCCTTTTTGCACTTTGATTGCAGAGAGACAGGATCAAACACGACTTTAAAAACAAAGTGATTAAAATTATTATGATTATTTATGGATGATATAATTGTTACACAATTTATGTTTCTAGTTTTTGTATTTGTTAGACTAAGACGGATAATTAAAGTTCAACCTTTTTATTTTCTTATCAAATATTATATATTTTGCTTAAAAAAGGTACATAAAAAGAATTAATCCTACAAAAGTTAAAATGAATAATTAATTATAAATAAGACTGCAACAATTTCGCTTGCCGATAAATTAATTTGACAAGTCCATTGAACCCAATGAAAATGACTTATAATATGCGTTATTCGAATGGACATTTTGATTAAATTGCTGTAATTTGTGTAATGGCAAGTCTTTGGATAGGAATTTTGCCATTATGCCTGCGGTCCCTTTTTGGAACTCAAAGCACTGTCAAATGCACAAACAAAGGGCCAAAACACAACTGACACACTTCAAATGGGGCAGCACACACACAAATCGCAAAAGCATACTGGCTCTGACAAATGGACGAACGACAAAATATATTTGTTTCAAAGTGCTCCTGCCACTCGTCCTGTCAGTTTAAAATCTACCGATGATCCTTTTGTTTGTGATTTTTATTCGGTACTCTAATGTTCACTAATTTGCATCGTTTTGAAATCCTTTGACATGTGTCTAGTTTGGGTCAAAGCCATAAAACTCTTGTGTTGCCCTAAAGGGTTAATATTGGAAAATGTTACTGTCACAGTGAAAAATACAGTGGTCAGTGGAAAATATTCTGTTTTAGTCGAGAATATAATAAATACTATTTACATTTTATATTTTAAATTGATATTGTATAGTTTTAAGAATGTTTCTTTTTTTGAGTAGATTCCTGAAAAATACTTGTTTTCTATACGATTATATAAAACAAAACTTCTATTTATAATTTTTATAAGGAAAAAAAAACATAGAATTATACCCGTTAAAACCTTTTAAAATTTAATTTTAAATTTTTTTAATTCTAAAAATGTTTTAAAATGTATGCAAACATTTTTATGGATATGTAGATATTTTGTTAGGGATTTTTATTTTCACGTTGAATTTCCCTGCCTTTCGCAGCTTTAAGGCGAACTTTACCCGCCTCTCCGGAAAATGCTGGCTAATTAAGGGCGAGTGTCTGGTCCGTAGAGCCATGGCTCCTGACGGCTGCATTTGCCTGCTCTTCATGGCCAAGAGCGGAGCGATAAGGCCAACAACGGCGACGGCTTTTGTGGCATGTGTGTGTGCAAAAGGTTATCGGCAGGAAGTT